TTCCGATGAAGTGCTTATACCCTGGCATGTAGAGTCAGCAATATTAACAGAATGTTTGCCGTATAACTTGTAAATCTGGAGTTTTTAAGTTTGGCAGTGAATTCCAAAAAATCGCGATAACCCGCAGCGCCGACGCCATCTGGGTACCACTTTTAACCCGATCTGACTAGTGCGTAGCATGTATTTTTGTCTCCCTTACTGTAACCCTCTTTTGGTCGAAGTGGAAATTCCGTACGTGAGATAGCACATCTTGTGCAGAATTTTTTGCTGATTCCGAATCCGTTTTCAAAAGTTGCGGAACCCCTCAAGTTAAAAAGTTACAAGCGTTTTTAATACCCAAAATGCCACAAAACGCTTACTTTAAAACGTTCTAAAAATTCCGTAAGATACTTTTGGGAGGAAATTAACACATTTACCGGGCTAAAAAAGCGTGCTCTTTCGAATGGGCTACCTCACGAACCTGTGGCTCAAAATTTGCAAAAAGTTTTTTTTGGCGGACCCTTGCCCAAGATGGTCGATTTTCGGAAGTTTCGAAATTTCGAGCTACGGGTTTGTGAGATAGCCCATTCAAAAGAGCACGTTTTTTACCCCGGAAAATGGCTTATTCTCCCCCCAAAAGTATTTTACGGAATTTTTATAACGTTTTAAAGTAAGCGATTTGTGGCATTTTGGGTATTAAAAACGCTTGTAACTTTTTAATCTGAAGTGTTCCGCAACTTTTCAAAGCGGATTCGGAATCAGCAAAAAATTCTGCACAAGATGTACTATCTCACGTACGGAATTTCCACTTCGACCAAAAGAGGGTTACAGTTAGAGATACGCGGGCGAGACCCAGAGGAAACTCTACCTAACTCGCAGGCAAATCATTTGCATGATTCCGCATTTGCATCGGGGACGGGGTGACGCTGACCGTCCCGTCTGTCCGTCCCATCCCGGACGCGTCCCCAGCCGTCCCCTAATTTTATGCAAATGAAGGTGACGGTCCCGCGTCCCCGGTCCGGACGGGACGCAGACCAACCCTCCGGTGCCCGCAAAATTTTTAAGCACCTATTCTAACCTTATAGCCTAATTTCAGCCAGCCCGGGCTCCCGGCTCGAAGCAACGGCGACGTCCCATACAGGTCCGTATCGCTAGTAAAGTCCACGGACTTCATGTCATGTCAGGCGTCTGTGCGTTCGTGTCTGCTCAAAATATCCCACAGGGCGTCCCAATAAAAAAACGAAAAACCTTAAAGGGGCTTCGAAGTCGAATTCATCCGTGCTGGAATTGAACCGACCGGTCAAAAAACGTAATGGTCACTACCGAGAAGTGCCAGAAAGGTTATTTCGTTGCCAAAAAACGCAAAATATTTGAGGAAAACAGAAATGTTTATGGGGCGAAAACGACTTTTTGGGTGGGCGGCGATTACATGTCGTAATGCCTTGTAAGGCATCCAATCTCTCGATCTCGGCGATTCTCTGATCAGTTTTAATATTAAGAGGTCTAGACTGATCTAAATTCGGTGAGGAATAAGGAAATAGTGTCAGAATTTTTAAATTAGAGCCTTTTTACGTCTAAACAGAGGCAAAAATTATGCGATTTCGGAGCCCCTTTAACTCACGGTTTTTAAGGGAGCTGCAATGATTTTAATACGTTTTTACCTTTACACCGGCGATATGATATCACATCACATCTCGATGCGCTTCAGTTGAATGCTGTGCTCGGAGCGCTGCGCCACGTCGACAGATGTATCCCACGTCGCGTGTGCAACGAAGTACTTGCCAAAGTGCAACGATTGATGGGTTGCCGCCCTGCTTGTGTCGATCAGCCACCACTATATGTTGGTTTTTTCAAAAATAATGCTTGATATGAAAAACTAAATCACCAACAGGCTATGAGAACAAGCGTCGTTGAAAGCTGATCTACATATTCAGCGAGCATCTTGATACAGGGCGTCCCAAAAAAGTACTGCCCTCTCGCGAGGCGCGGTCGTATCCAATTTCAACGGGTTGCTACAAACCGAACGGGGGAACAAAGTTTTTCTGTAATAAAAATGATTTTAATGTGGTTTTTTCTGGCTATAAAAAAGCTCTTAGTGTATTTTTTAGCCCTCAATCGAATGCCATTTTCCAAATATCGAAACTATTCAAAGCGCCAAAAATAGGTCGCCCCCCCGTTATCCTATGTGGTGCCCATATGTTTCAACTAAAGTTTTAATGCTACAAAACTTTTATATTAAATTTTTTCGTGCTGAAAATAATTATTTTTGTATATTTTCTGATGCTCTATCCAATGGCACTCGCGAAATCTCAGAGCACTGAAAAAAATAGGAATTATGATTCCCCACCTCGACCCCCCCGTTATTCCCCCCGTTATCCCCCCCGTTATTCCCCCACCCCTTGTTCCGACGAGTACCGAAAAGTCACTTTTTTCATAAAAACGTTGAATATCGATAGAATGAGATGAAATCTGAGAAACCAAAACCCGCTGGTTTTCTCGCCTTTTCGAGAGCTTTCGAATGGTGTGCAAATGCCCCCATAGCGGTCACTCCTGCGAACCGCTGTAGCGTGGGGGGGGGGAGGGGGTTAGGGGAGACCCCAGTATTTGTTCGATAATAAGGTATGGGCCGCAGCACGGCTGAGATGTTTAATTTGTTGATCAATCACTAAAACCGAATCCCGCTTTCCAGATATTTCGCGATGGTTCGAACGACCCAGGTGATTTATGCAGACGCTGGCCGACACAGGCTTTTCGTTGGACCACTCTGTCTACTCATGACGCCGCTACGCGTTTTCATGTAGGCTGCTTTAGTTGGTAAAGATTTGTATTAGGCGGAAAGGTAGTAAAAATGTACAAAGTGTCTCAAAATCATGCCCGGTCGCGAAATTGCTGGTAGTTCGAACGGGATACATAAAATTTTCCGAAAACTTGTGTCGATGTCAGTTATGAAACTGTTAACCCGATGGCAATATCAAAATCTCAAAAAAGGTTTGTCTTGATCAATAAATTACGATTTTAAAATCCGTGAATGCCTACTTTGTCGGAAGGTTTTTCGCGATGTGTTTACAGTAATCGGCAGGGTCAAAAACGGCTTGTCCCATGTCCATGTTGTCATAAGTGGATCCAAATCCCCGGCGGGTCCAGCGCTAGCCCTTAAAAACGTTTTTAGATGTTGCTGGAGCAACGCGAATCCTTAGCGCCTGGTGTAATCTATGCGTTTCCCGAAATTCAGCTCACACCGAGCGAATTTTTCGAATTTACGCAAAAATTTCAGGTGAGTGAGGAAAAAAGTTTTCAAAATTTCGGTGTTCAGTTGGAATGGGAGGGACATATTCAACCCCTCGACCCGGTGAAGCATCATCAAGCCATCTCACGGATCAATACGTCTTCTGATCGCCACGTAAGCCGCCCGCTCTCTCTCTCTCTCTCTCTCTCTCTTTCTCTCTCTCTTTCACTGTCTCTCTCTCTGTCTCTCTCTCTCTTTCTATCTCTCTCACCCTCTCACCCCCTCTCTCTCTATCTCTCGCTCTCCTCTCGCGCGCTTCCCTCTTTAACGCGCGCTCTCTCCCGCTATTCATCCCTCTTTTTCCATCTTTCTCTATTTTTCTCTCGCCCTCGTTCTGTATCTCTCGCTCGCTATCTGCTATCACTATCTCTTTCTCTTCTATCTCGCTGTTTCGCCCTCCCTCATCTTGTTTTAGTTTCCGGAAGCTCCGACTACTCCTTGTAAAGAAAAGCTGTATTCCTTTGCGGCGAACTACTTTCGAGTGGATCATCCGAGAGGAGGTGGGGACTTCGATTTTACAATAGCCTTTGCATCACCAAGCACTTTGTCCAAAAGAAGGAAAATCTTATATAGGTAAACAGGGCCTGAAAAGCTAATCTAGGTGTTACGGTAATGCTACGAGCTCAAAGTAGCCTACTCTTCCGAGAGGACAAGTTCATCAGGCGGATGATTCGCGAAAATCTCAACCGTGACGCATGTCCGAAATCATATACGGTTGGTATGCGCTGCGTTTCCTGGACTGCGTTATTCCCAGAAAACCCCCGGTATTTTTCTAGGTGTATGTCCATCCGGTTTGGTCGTTGATGCTTGATGTGACGATGCCGACACCGAACCGTTCATCTTAGCAATAAAAATCTCAAAACTCCAAAATCTTGTATTGAGACTGCAGGCTAAGGTAGCAGGAAAAACGCTGGCAGTATAAAGTCGACGATTTCCTGAAAGCGGTGCTCGCTTGCCACGTAAACGTCGCGGGTTCGCATCCGAGCCCATCCGAAAGTAATTCAACTGTGCGAGGATGTTCTCTTTCGGGGGTAGTGACTTTACCCCTCCCGCTTCTTATCATCCTCAAAAGTAACCTGAAAAAATGTTCAACGACTTTCTTGCCTGGTTTGGCAGATGCGCGTTACGAAAGCAGCTGCTCTTACGTATTGTTTCCAAAAGATCCGGTGACAAATCACCGTAATTTTCGGGTTATTGCACAAATAACCTTGGAAGTCGCGGCTCCGAGCCCGCCGGATATTAAAAGACCTTTGAAACTCAGCTTCGCCACGCCATGAGGACGGTCGTCATTCAAAACGCAACCATCAAAATTGTTAATCTATCCTCCGCCAATCCGATAAGGCTTTCAACCGCTTTCATCAATCCACTGTTTCCTAAATATTCCACGGAAAAGCCGCTATTGCACCTAGAGACGTTGAAGGTTATCGCCTTGCCAATGATTTCCTACAAGATGCCGTCCAAGCCGTTCACCAATGTCTAAGATAAAGTCAAATTACAAATTGGGAAACCGCGCGACCTCTTTGCGGATTTGCCGATTACGATGACGCACGTAGAATCAAAATTCTCATTCTAAAAACCGATGTAGACAGTAAAGGCAATCTGCTTTATGCAAAGTACACACGAAAAGATGAATCAAGTGACAATCTAGGAAATTCAGATCAAGTCGGGGAATATTGGCATAACATGTTCTAAAATCGCCGTGGGAATTACAAATAAAGGTATCAAATTTCAGCTACATCAGTTCGGCTATATCCAAAAAACAGATAAAAGAAATATTGATCGGAAAAACGAGGAGATCGGACCATGAATTGACATCGGTTAGTCGGCGGGCATTCCATTTGCCGTCGAGCGCAATTCCGATTATTTTGAAGATCTTGTTACCGGCGCTGGCTTGAACATCAATGATATTCAATAGGACGAAATCTTCGGAGATGAATTGGCGGCGTGCGTTTGTGGTGATCGACGTCGGTGAATACGGCTGACAGCAGAACTGGAGCACGACGAGGCTGTGCCACGGGTGAAGTTCGTCAAAGCGTTCTCCTTGTTTCGTGGCTGGGAACCCATAACCGGGCGAGCGTGAACTCATCATGAGGCGCATTTGTTCTTGTCCTGGTTCGCCGAGAAGCCTAAACAAAAAAAATATCGCTACAGAAATTGACCCTACTCGATGTTATTTTGTGAAATTCCTTCTTGGCCATCGTCGAGCGTAGTCACCAGGAAATTGTTCGGCTAAACGAAAAAGTTTTAGAAATTTCGCGGGAGTTACCTCTGTATAGAAGAAGAACTTGTAGAGCTCTTTGAAGAAATCAGTGCCAGCAACATGAATGTAGCAGATCGTCAAGTCAATGAATCCGGTAATTCGGTCAGCCAACGCCTAAATTTGTTACTCGCGAGTCTAAGAACCAAACCTCCAGATGTTTATCGGGGCCTCTTTCGTATTCATACTCCAGGATCGGCACACTTTTGTTGCCGAAGAAGTCACCGGCTGTATCCTCATCGGCAAATACGAAGGCCAGCCGACGCATTACCTAAATTGACATGATCATGAACAGGTTCACACCAGACGGAAATCTGTGCTCAAGAGAGAGAGAGAGAGAGCGCCATAGATGGAGAGAGAGAGAGTGCGAGAACCGCCCCCGGAAATTTTTTGGAATCGTCGCATAAGAACTGTGAGAATTATCAACATCTGTTGCAAAAGAAGCAAAAATTAGGCTTGTTTTCAAGCGGAAAAACGCGATCAAAATCAGAAAGAAAATTCAGCCAATTCCAAAGCCATCCACGGTACCCCAGTTCGAGTGCTTCGACTTCCTATTAAATCACGTAATTGATTGGCAAAAAAACTTGAATTTGCAAGAAAGAAGGAAAAATATTGTTTATTAAGCGTCAAAATTATTATTTTTAATTATACTCGCTTGCATTCCTACCCCAAGCGCATCCACAAAGTGTTTTCGGCCTATGGGTGGCTCATTAAAGGGAAAGAAGACCTCACTCGCTCGCTCTCTATTCCGCCGGATCAATAATTTAGGCCCTATCTTTATCTTAAAATCAATTAAATGATTAACATCTGCTCAAGACCCCTTTTCAGCACTTGCTCTCTTTCACCCCGCCGTGAAAAAACGCCTAAAAAAGACCGAAAATCCTTTTTGACAAAAATCTATCGTCATCTCGTATTTTCTATCTAATTCCTATCGGTCCTCTTCAGAATATATGTCTTCCACGTTCGAATCATAATTTCAGGTTTTGCGGCGCCAAGTTCTACGAGTGCGTCGGGAGCGAGCGACCAGTGGAGGTGAGAAAAACGGCGCTAGATGGGACCAAATTCATGCACGAGAGAGGAAAGAGCAAGATAAGTTGAATTTTTCATTCATGCATATGATGTTATAGAGAAAACGATACCATCGGCGTGTCCGCGCTGCTTTTCGTTGGCCGAGACTCCCCTTGACCCGTCGTTGCCGCCATCATCAGGTCGGGGCCATCATCGGGTCGGTGCCGTCGCCTCCGCCGGGCACCTGAAAAATCCGTCTTTCCAAAGGTAAGCAATAAGATCTGATTTGCTAGCTTGTTTTCGAAATTTCATAACGTCGAATTTCAAAATTTCATAATTTAATGCATTTAGACTGTCGAAATCTGTTGTATAGGTTTTTAGGTTTCCGGAAAAACTAGCTTCAGTCGTCGCTCTGAATTTCAACATTCTGAATTTTGGCATTCTGAATTTCAACATTCTGAATTTTGGCATTCTGAATTTCGGCATTCTGAATCTAGACATTCTGAATTTAGATATTTTCGATTTCGACATTACGAAATTCAACATTATGAAATTTCGACATTATGAATTCGACATGATGATTTTCGACATTTCGCAAAGAACGCATAAGATTAAGATGTGGGCGATAAAGTCCAAGCTTCTCCTCACTAGGGAATGGTCTCCACTCGGCCTCGAATTTCGAGTTGAAAGATAGCTCATCTTGTAGAGCTCGACGAGACGAATCGATTGATGTAACTTTTAGCTGCGGATACTGTAATACAACAAAGTTACAGCCGTTTAAAGTTTTTACCCCGACCTTCATATGCCCTTCCCTGATCCCCTCCAATGTGGTCCAGTGGCCGAGCGGTTAGGAACTCGCCTCCCGGGCTGGGGGTCGAGGGTTCGGATCCTCTCGCCGTTTTAACTTTTTGCTTTTTGCGCAAAACACACAGATCTTCACAAAGCCAAGAGTAACCCTTGAGCCAAAAAAGCAAAAAGTTAAAACGGCGAGAGGATCCGAACCCTCGACCCCCAGCCCGGGAGGCGAGTTCCTAACCGCTCGGCCACTGGACCACATTGAAGGGGATCAGGGAAGGGCATATGAAGGTCGGGGTAAAAACTTTAAACGGCTGTAACTTTGTTGTATTACAGTATCCGCAGCTAAAAGTTACATCAATCGATTCGTCTCGTCGAGCTCTACAAGATGAGCTATCTTTCAACTCGAAATTCGAGGCCGAGTGGAGACCATTCCCTAGTCAATGCGGCACCCTACCCTCGACCCTAAATCTACGCCGAACTACTAAGTGCGACGCGCAACCCGGACGGATTCCTGAATCGCCCATGCTAGCCCGCCACTACAGTAAGTGATCACTAGCCGATGAAGCTAAACATGAAAACAAAAATAAATTCAGCTTTTCCTGCATTTTTCCCCCAAAACGTCACGAAGAAATTGAGCTAATTCCTAAATGGTGAGTGCTAGTATGCCTCGACAACAAAAGTTACTAGCCGATGCAGACGATTCCTCAATTCTACCTGCCAGCCTACCCCCCTACAGTAAGCAGTTTTGACGAAATCGAGCCGATTTCCTGGATTGTCACCGCTAGTAACCGTAAGTAATTATCAGCCGATGAAGCCGAAAACCAAAATAAAGATAAATTCCCCAATGGGGCCTGCTAGCCTACGCGTTTCCTCCTACCACGACCGTTTTAAGAGATTTAGGACCGATTCCGCAATTTGCCGGGCTAGCTGACCCTACAGTACGCCGTCACGAAGAAACGGAAAGGATTCCTCAATTTTCACTGCTAGTCTGCCCCTACAGTAAGGAATTCCTAGTCGACGAAGCTCAAATTAAAAATAAATTCCTCAATGGGGTCTGCTAGCCTGCCCGTTACCCCCTACCGTAACTTTTTTGGACATACTTAAGACCGATTCCTCAATTTTACCTGCCAGTCTACCCCCTACCGCAGCCGTTATGATGAAATCGAACCCTACAGTAACCCGTCAGACAGGCTTCGCGCATATTCCTCAATTTTCACAGCTAAGCCACCGGCTACCGTAAGTTCTCAACTCGAAATCGAGCTAATTCCTTCGATGGAGCTCAACTTAAAAATAAATTCCCCAATGGGGTTTGCTAGCCTACCCGTTACCCCCCTACCGTAACCGTTTTAAGAGATTTAGGACCGATCCCTCAATTCTCGAGGCTAGCCCATCCCCTACAGCGCGCCGTAACGAAGAAACGGAAAGGATTCCTCAATTTTCACTGCTAGTCTGCCCCTACAGTAAGGAATTCCTAGTCGACGAAGCTCAAGCTAAAAATAAATTCCTCAATGGGGTTTGCTAGCCTACCCGTTACCCCCCTATCGTAACCGTTTTGACAGATTTAGGACCGATTCCTCAATTCTCCAGGCTAGCCCACCCCCTACAGTACGCCGTCACAAAGAAATGGAATGGATTTCCAAATGGCGACCGCCAGTCTGCCCCGACCGTAACCCGTAAGAAAGGATTAACACCTATTCCTCAATTTTTACTGCGAAGCTACCGGCTACCGTAATTTCTCAACTCGAAATCGAGCTAATTCCTAGTCGATGGAGCTCAAATTAAAAATAAATTCCTCAATGGGGTCTGCTAGCCTGCCCGTTACAATGGGGAGCCAAGCCAGCCAATCCGTAACCAGAGCAATTAACAAAAGAAACCAACCGAAATCGCCGCCTTCGCCTTCCGCCAAGTAGGTCCGTGGCTGGGTCACTCCGAAACGCACTTCCCGCACGATGAAGCCGTGGTGCGCTCGCCTGGAACAGTTTATATAACAAAAGTCTTTTTTTTTGATTAGCCTTAAGTTATCGTTCCATAAGTTTGATTCTCCGTCGAAAATACATAATAAATAAAACACAAAATGCCCCTTACCCTCCTCATCGCGGATTCACCATCATGGTGGCTGCCTCTCGCCGTTGACAGCGAATCCGTGCCGTCCACCGGCCAGCAACTCGGCTGAACACCTCCGAAAACCCTGAAACAAGAAGTATTTTTCATGTAAAACCGTGGAATTACATCCGAAAAGCAAGAAACCGAACGGAATTCACGTGAGGAACAATTAGAAACAAAATGAGGCGTGAAGGAGAGAGATATTTGCCAAGATAAAGCTAAAAACACGAAAAAACCCTTGGATTCCATCAAAAAAAAGCAAGAAACTAAGTCGAATTCAGGTCAGAAACAATTAGAAACAAAATGAGACGTGACAACAAGAGCAATTCATAAAGATAAAGCTAAAAAAACGGCAAAAAATTTTTATTTGAAAAATTGAAAAAAATTTTTTGAAATTCGGTGGTGCGCGCCAAAAATTCGGGGTCAAATGGCATTTCGGACCGAACTGGGTCAATAACGGGGGTCCCACGCGCCACCCGTCTGGTCCACTGCGCCAGGGTAAGGGGGGTGGGGCTGGACTCTTTTCGGGTTGGCCCCAAGATGGGTGCCCAGTCCCTGCCAGTCCCGTGAGCACATAGAAAAACTTTGGAGACGAAACCCATTAGGATGACACGCAATTCCGACAATTTTCGAGGTGCAGATCTTGTGCGAAAATGAAAAGGCTCGAAAAGAGACTGAAGAAACAATTTAAATTTTTTCCGTGCCATAAATTATCGCTGCAAACCCTTTAATTCCCCAATGATCTCTGCCAGCCTGCCCTTTCCATCCCCAAATGATCTCCGCTAGCCAGCTTTGGGTTAGGAAACACATTAAAGGGCCGTTGAAGTCCCCCTGGCAGGGCCGGGTTACGGTATCTCAAAAGGTGCTGGTGGTCTATAGCTTTCACTTTCTCGACAACTCCAAATTGACGCGTGTTAATCTCATTTTGTTGGCTACCCATCATTACTTCTAAAATCATTACTTCTAAAATCATTACTTTTAAAATCATGACTTCTAAAAGTCATTACTTCTAAAAGTCGTTACTTCTAAAATTCTAAGCATATTTTTGGGCATAAATGTGCCGAAAAACTGGTAATCCGGCATACCAAATTTTAGAAGAAACGTTTTTAGAAGTAATGATTAGAGATGTTAAGAATCAATTAACAATCAAGATTATTTGCATACAATGGCACAATATTATTTTATTTGGATGGGGCTGAGCGCATGACCAAGTAACATAATATTATTTGACTCCGCTCGAGAAAGAACCAAGTAAGATTACTTGATTTACTTGATTTAATTGATCAAACAATAGCTTTCAGGAATTCTGGCATTTTTCGGATGGTAATGAACTTTATGACATGATCGCATGCTAATTTACTGGGTTCGCGGCACAATTGCCTGATTTGCATTGCGAATTTGCACAAAATCAAGTAATTTCGCTGAAAATCAAGTAATTCTCCCAAATCAATCAAGATCAAGTAAATCAATTAATTTTATTTTACTTGATGCTTATTCAAGCGAACGGAGTCAAATAATTTTATATTTACTTGAAGATTTCAGATGCAAATAAAGTTGTTCAAGCAAATTTACTTGGTCTTTATATTACTTGATTCGTAACATCTCTAGTAATGATTTTTAGAAGTAATGACTTTTAGAAGTAATGATTTTAGAAGTAATGATCGTACCCCCATTTTGTTAGCCCTAAAAGCTTGACGTTTCGGCCAAAAACGATAGGTGTCTGGTGTTTAGGTGCGTCACCTCGGTTGTCTAGACCCAGCCGGTGGAAGGGTATTTTCACGCCCGTTTGTCTGTGTCAATTGAATTGTGTGCATCCAGAATAAAGTGAAATTTATGCAGATGAATGATTATTTGTAGATGACGGTCAACAGAATCAGCCCCAAGTACAGGATGACGTCGACGAAGACGAATATCTGGAACGAGCCGTATTTGTGCTTGAATTTTTTAAAAATGTTCGCAAGGCAGTGTTCTTTTAAAGGCGCTAAGAACCACCAGGCGGTCGATTCTCGCATTTTCAGGACCTTTAAAGCACAAAGATTAGCTAAAGGCCTTACCGTGGCTACAACATAGCGCGCCAATCGATGTGTATCCTTCCATATTATATTTGAAGCTTTTGATGCGTTGACGGCTATCAATGTGCCGCAGATGATCAGAAGCACTGTGGCGATGGCGTACACTACGAGAGTCTAAAGGCAAATTAAATGGACATTCAACACATTTCGCTCTCTCGCTCTCTCCCTTTCTCCGGTCCTGGCCCCACCCCCCCCCGCCCTCCCCCTTTCTCTCTCTCTCTCTCTCTCTCTCTCTCTCTTTCTCTCCCTCACCTTCTCTCGCTCTCTCTTGCGCTCCCTCTTTCTATCTATATCTCTCCTAATTTCTCACAAGCGCTCCCCTTTTGCAGCCTTTATAGGAATGTTTGGGAAATTGAATGTAGTTAGGAAAGGTCGGAACTATCGAATTTCTAAACATACCTTCAACTTTCCTAACCGATCCACCAACTCGTTGCCCGTCAAAATGCCGATCAATATCGTGAGGGCGATGCCGAGCGATACGATCAACAACGGCTCGTAGACAATCGACCATCCATAATGCTAAAGTGACAAATTATGTGACAGGTAGTCAAATACTCAAACTACTCAAATCGTGGCAGCCACAAAAACACGGTGTACGTAAAGCAACATAAGTAAGCTGTTTAGGGCGTAAAAGTGAGATGGTGAACGTAAAGGAGCAGCTATTATTCGAAGAAGGGCCAGGGGACGGATCGAATTCTGATCTAACGGTTTTCTATGCGTTTCGGGGTCAGCTCCACTTGTCGCGACCGCATACGTACGGTTTACATAAGTAGGATGTAAAAACCGTAAGAGAGAAAGAAAGGCACCGAGAAGCAGAGAGATAGATAGAGCGGGAGAGAGAGAGAGAGGGTAGGAGAGAGTGATGGAGAGACAGAGATGTGAAAAGGAAAAGAGCGAGATGAGAGAGAGACGAGAGAGTGAGAGAGAGAGAGAGAGAGGGAGAAGGTGAGAGAGAGAACCAGAGACCAGGAGAAAGGGAGAGAGCGAGAGAGCGGTTTGGAGTGAGAGCGAGCGACAGAGCGACAGAAGTTGAGAGGGTGAGGGTGAGAACGCGAGAGAGCAAGAGTGAGCGTTGGAGTAGAGAGAGCGAGCTACACGCCTTGAGTCATTTAGCAAGCTAACCTGCGCAGCGCAAGAGTGGAGAAATACATTTGAGTAAGCAGATAGTGAAAGCAAGCTAGAGATGAAGGGAGAGAGAGAGAGCGAGAGAGAGAGAGAGAGAGAGAGAGAGAGAGAGAGGGAGAGAGAGAGAAGGAGAGACGAGAGAGAGAGAAGGAGGACGAGGAGAGAGAGAGAGAGAGAGAGAGAGAGTGAGAGAGAGAGAGATTGAAAAACCTTACCTTAGCAAAAATCTCGACATAAAATGATCCCTCAGTGATAAAAACGGTGATGAGGGGTAGTGTGACGATCAGGGAAAGCTGAAAAATTCTGAATTAACTCGCAGTAAGATATTTCAATATTTTAAAGCCCCCAATCCTCTCGGAATTTTTAGAAAACCGACCGTAATCAAAAAGCTGAGAATTCCGGGGATCGTGACGACATTTGCCAAATTAAAACCCATTTTGTTGCGTCAAAAATAGCAGCTGAGGGGAATATAGAAACTTCTTGGAATGCAATGGATCGGTGGCGGGGGTCGAAAAATTTTGTGCTCACTCCCTTATCGCGATAGTGTACGCTGAAGAAGCAGCCCGAAAAATGTAGATAACCCATTTTCAAAGAAGCGCCTACACGTCAACACCTCGAACGAGGAAAATTCTACAACTTCTGCGCTATCGTAATTTGGCGGAATTGCACTATCGCATATGGATTTTGCCGCTGCCGCGACATGGAAAATAAAACGTCTTTTGTGTCACGCACAAGGCCACATCCATAAGGAAACGCGCTATACTACCTGGCTCGTCACTTTAAAGGGATCGGCAACTGAATATTGACTTTGTTGGCTACGGGTTTCCTATGAACCTTGCCGCGTGCGCCCCACGCAACGCACACGCCGCGCTTTAAGGCTCCGGACGCCAATACGCACATCGGAGGGACGGCCGTCGCGCACAAGGAAAATGCATAGGGAAACACACTGCCTTGCTGGTTCCTTTAAAGGGACCAGGAAGGCCCTACAGGCTGTCCAAAAAATCCCCCCTAGCCGGCCTCAGACCTGCCCGAGCTTTACGATTTAGGCATCTATCGAAAGCCCTCGAAAAGACGTGTCCAGGACGTCTCGTCAATTTGCGAAATGGCCAAATTTTTTGCACGATTTTGTGCATAGTGAGCCAGGTCTCGTGCGTTTCGGCGAACGGGAGGGAGCGCAAGGGGTAGCCCAGCGGCTGGTTTATAATCGTTAGAGAATCAAAGCCCGACTTATGCAAATTTTTACAAGGCTTTCCTGATACCTTTGAAGGGACCGGCTAGTGACTATCGATTTTGTTGGCTATGGATACCATACGGATTTGACCAGATAGCGACCACAAAGACATCGCAACCAGCACAAACGGACATAAAGCTATCGCGGTTCGATTGGCCGAAGGGTATTCAGGCGTGCACCGCACGCAAAATCCAAAAGATGACGTGCAGGTGCCTTTAAAGAGACGAATGAGGATATAATTCTTGGCGAAATGCGAAAGGCGAATCGTACGCGTTGCGAAAGTGCCCCGGTCTCATGCAGAACGACCGATTCTCGCGTATTGCGGAGCCTAAAGATTAGTAGAGCAACCGTTCCACAATGTACGACGAAATCCGGAAAAAATTTTTATTCACACATCCGTCAACTGGGGCGATAGAAGGCTAGAGACACAGATAGAACGAAAGAGAGCGAGAGAGAGAGAGAGAGAGAGAGAGAGAGAGAGAGAGAGAGAGAGATAGAGAGAGATAAAGGGAAGGGGGGAGATAGAGTGGCGAGAGGCGAGCGAGAGAGCGTCTTGAAGTGGAAGCCGTCTAATTGCTCTTCTGGCTCTTCGCGCTCCGCTTGCTGCTCGTCGATCCTCGGCCCTTGATGTTCATCCGCCCGGCCTTGTCTAAAAATGACATAATGCGTAGATCGGCCTTTCATGCATAGGGTTTTGATCTCTGTGGTCGATTGCAATTTTCCAACTTGACGCCGACAAAATTGAGGATTTCTACCTTGGATTTCCATGCGCTGACGATATCCCACGCGCCAGTTGGGATCGGGGAACACGAAATCCGCAACGCCAAGCAAGAACTCGTGCTTGCGGGAGACCACATTCGCCGCATCCAGCAAGAATTTTCTCAAAAAGCAGCATCTCCCCCTTACCAGCAGAAGCACGTCGACGAACTTCATCTTCACGACAACGGATTCAATGGCGTCGCCGCGTTGGATGGTGCCGCGCAGCGTGTTACGCGGGTCCTAAATCACATTTCGAATACTTTGGTATTTATATTGGCATACCAGCGGGGCGTCGTCATCACCGTGCTTGACGTCGCCCAAAATGGAATGGTCGGCGATTTTATGGGAAGCCAGGAACTGTAATGGGCGGAAATGAAAGCGATCGATCGCGAGAGAGACAGAAAAAGAGAAAGAGAAAGAGGAAGAGAGACAGTGAGAGACAGAGAGAGACAGAGAGATAGAGAGAGGGCGAGACAGAGAGAGACGCAGAGAGAACGAGAGAGAAAGAAAAATGGGGAGAGATAGAGCGCGAGAGAGATATAGAGCGAGAGAGAAAGAGAGAGAAAGAGAGAGCGAAAGCGTGAAGAGAGATATCGAGAGAGAGAGGGGTAGAGAAAGGGGCGAGAGAGGGGTGAGAGAGCGAGAGAGAGACATGGAGAGAGAGACGAGGGACGAGAGAGACAGGAAGAGCGTACCCTTAGATGGTAGTGTTCTTCGAGATCGTGCTCATCTGGCTCTCCGCGCCTTTCTTGCTGTTCTTCGGGCCCTTGCTCCTGCTCTTGCTGCTCGACGGCCCAGCCGTGCCTGGAAGTGAGATGGTACAGATTGGTGATGACGGTGGCCTTCCGGCATTTGGTATTTCGGTCTCCGCAGTCGGTCGCAATATTGGCAATGCTGAGAAAATTCACGATTCCTACCCTTTTCTTTGATGCCCATCCGCGCACAATGTTTTTTGCGCCATTCCTTATCCGGGAACACGAACGAGATGATTCCGAGCAGAAACTGGTGCTTGCAGTCGGCGGCCTTGGCGACATCCTGCAAATTTTTTGTTAAGAAACACCATTTACTCCCACCACGAGCAGGATGTCCACCAGCCGCATCTTGACCTCCACTGCCTTGGTGACTCCCTCGTGCTGGGTGGAGCCCCACACCTTGTCGCGCTCGTCCTGGAACAAAACTCAAGATTAAAACCTCAGGATTGGATTCGGATGAATTTTCAAAGATAACCTGTTTGTAGGTGCATACCGGTTTCGGAGCGTGAGCCTTGTGGTTGATTGAGATGAGCAGCGAGTAATCGTAGATGGCATGCGAAACCAGCATCTGGAAACGCAGTGATAGAAGAGAGAGAGCGAGAGAGAGAGAGAGGATGAGAGAGCGAGAGATAGAGAGGATAGAGAGAGAGAGAGAGAGAGAGAGAGAGAGAGAGAGAGAGAGAAAGAGAGAGAAGCGAGAGTCGGTCGTCAGACCACCCACATCGAGCTCCTGCTCCAGCGTCTCCATCACCCTTCCCTGATCGTGGGCAGAAAGAATGATGCCCTGTAAAATCTCAGTGGTAAAAGTACAGACGATTACTTTTCGATACTGGTCCTTGAACTCTCGATCCCTCTCCGTCGGCTTGGCCGCTTTCTTCTCGTCCTGCAAAACGCAGCGCTTCAGATTGCCCTAAGAAGCTGAGTGCCGAAATACAAAAAAAAGCAACCTTGACGTCGAAATTGTGGACGTCTTTGGACTGGTCCAAGAAGACGTTGGCCATCAGCAGCATACCGATCGCCGACTTGTCCGCATGAGGCCCGTTGTTGATGAGCCATCCGGAGGAGAACGGCGGCAGCAGTTTGGACGACTTCAAATCCGCCTGAAAAACCGAACGAAACAAGGCGAGGTTGCCAAGTACGCTATTTATGGATGCAAAGCGAGGATTCGGATTTCAAACATTTGCTCACGTATTCGGGCTGACGATGCTTGTTTGTCCTGTGGCATAAACTGAACTGTTGCGGAAATCGGCAATCACGGCTTGATGGAGCAAGGCAATAAAAAAAATAGAACAAGCTAGCCCTGCTGGAATGGAAGGATCCGCATTTGTGGTATCGATAAAGAAACGAAACTGGCAGTGCGCTATGTAAGATCGAATCTGAAATGAAAAAATAGCAGAAAAAAGTTTTTGGAATGGGAGCGTTGTGCACTCGTGTTGCGCGCGTAAAACGGTTACAGCAGGCACACCAAACATCTCGGCCCACCACAATTAGCCTACGCCGGAAGTGGAGGTAGCCTACATGTGTATAAAGCGGGCAGAACGGACGTTCTTCATTCATTTGCTCTCAGCATTTAAAAAGTGAGTTGTTTCTTATTCAAATTAGAGAAAGAGAGGACGAGAGAGAGCGGACGAGAGATAAAGAAAGAGCGAGAGATAAGGCTTCTTTCTTCCGCTCTCTCTCACTCACTCTCTCTCTCTCTCGCTCTCGCTTTCTCTGTCTCTCTCTCTCTCTTCCTTTCTGACGGCAGACTTGAAGGTGAACCTATGTAAAAAAATCGGGCCTAAAAATGAGCAAAACGAGTAATACCAGCCAATACTTCGTTGCAAGGTTCAACTTTGAGACAGCGATCATCTAGACGAAAAATACAGCGAAAGTAAAATAGAAGACCGATGCACCTTTATTTACATCTTGTAGTGCGTACTGGACTTCTTCCTCGAAGACTACTCGTTGCCAATGAGAATCGAAGAAGTGCCTGATGATTACGATCCCATCACGGTATGTAAAAGAGTGTTGGGTTTGAAACGTTATCGTTGTACCTCCGGGAAGATGTAATTTTCGGATTCACTTGTCTTTCAGGCCTGACCCGACCTGACCTTGCTCCGGAGCGCTGGTGAGAGGGTGGGGTTTTGGGCCACCCTGTATTTGACCATAAAAAAGCTGCAAAACGCGAACAAATTGAAAGACACCACTGGCTGTAACAGTCGTGATTCGACCCCTCTACTTGGGGAACCGAACGAAATGCTGTTTCAGGACCACGATGACCTCACGTACATTGTGATGCGCAACATCTGCCTCGACGGAAGTCCCGCTGCTACTAAATACGATCTCAAGGTTTAATTCATTTCTAGGGTATATATGGGTTTATATTAGGGAAACCCCGACCGCACAAAGGCCAGCGACATGTCAGTTCTGCGTGATTCGGAGCTTCGCACGAATCAGCCGGATGGCATCCGTCTCAAGGAAGAGGAGCGCCAAGAAGTGGAGACGATCCTGACCCAGGATTTGGAGGTGGGAACAGAAGCCAGAATTTTGGCCCTGAAAACCCTGGGTGTCACTGGTTGTCAACAGCCCAGCAGGAAAAGCAAATAACCGAAAAGCAAAACCAAAAGAATCTGGCTACGGTTGACTTTACCCCCCCACCTCGAGGGTCCCAAATTTTGCGATCTTTTCGTTATTTTTTTCGGGATTTTTTTGACACCATCCGATAGAGCATCAAAAAATATACTAAGAGTTTTAATTTCAGCCCAAAATAATGTTGTCATATATAAAATAGCTACAGCAAAAACAAAAATAATTTGTAAAAATGGGGTTAAAAAGCTAGTTCTCGATATTTTCGTTGTTTTTTCGACATTTTCAATACGCCATTCGATAGAGCATCAAAAAATAGGCTACGGTTTACTTTACCCCCCCCCCCCAGCCGGAAGTTTTTGGCGATAACTTTTTTTATTTTACATTATTGTAGGCTCATATTAAAACTCTTAGTATATTTTTCGACGCTCTATCGAATGGCGTTGCGAAAATCCCGACAAAATAAGCGAAAATACCGAAAACTTTGAGGCCCTTCGGCTGTGGGGGGAAAGTAAACTCTTACCAAAAAATATACTAAAAGCTTGAATTGCAGCCCAAAATAATGTAAAAAAAATAGTTATGGCAAAAACAAGCAAAATTCGAATACCGCTCAGACATTATTTTAATGTATAAATTTTAATATTTATCTTTTCGCAATTCCCGGCCAAGGGATAGTAGCTGGGACCTAGGACCACCGATTGGTGGCCTTAAAAAGGTTTTGGGACCTACCGGCTGGGGGCTAAAGTAATCTCTTGCCTCTTTCTCTCACTCTCCAACTCTCCAATTCTATCTGATGCGGACCAACTCTCTAAAGAACGTTTTGCAGTTTTTGGAGCGTCGAGACCTCGTGGACTACTCATTATTGCTGATGCTCGACAACGTGCCGCTGGATGACAAAACGAAGTCGGTATGTCACAGTGACGTTTTAATTTCCTGTCAAGCCGTGCTAATGCTACTACGCGTCATGCAAATTTTACTTTCCAATTCATCTGAAACTTAGCAAGCCGAGCCGAGCCTCATCGGGATGACGGCTGAGGGCGAGAAACTGCTCCGAATGGGGATCATCGACATTATGCAGCGAAAGGTAGCATCACTGCAAAGTTAGGCAGCATTTGTTTAGGTCGGCGGGGCGGCGAAGAAATGGAAAGAACAGGTTCTGGGCGGCGTATTCGGCTACGTTTTCCCGCCAAAATCCGGAATTGCCGACAAGTTCAAGAAACTGAGCGTGGATGCCCCAGGTAGAGCCTTGCCAAATATTCCATTCCCCTTCGAGCTCGCGATTTTGACCTTGGTTTTTCAGTTGACGACAATTCCACCGGTGCTTCGAGCAGCAGGGGCAAGAGCGACAAGAACACGGCCAACCGGAAGCGGAACCAGAAGAAGTCGAAGAACCGCCCTCAGGCCGCGTCCGGACGCTGCCCTCGATTAGGCCTCGTACATTGTATTCCCCGGAATTATTTTTCATCTGCCTTTGCGTTTTGCCTCCTTTAGGAGTTGTGTAGTTTTAAAATTATGAATTCCTGAAGTCGCTTCCTTGTACTTTCATTGTTACCTAAACAGAGCCGATTCCCGTGACTTTGTGATGTTAAAGCTATATTTTTGACCCACGGCTTCTTAATATACGCGGAACCGAGCAAGTTTTTCTCGCGTTTCTCGCTATTCTCTGGCCCCATTCTCCCAATAGATCTCATGTGTTGTAGACCGTGTGTTACTACTTCCAAAGGAAATAAACGAAATTTTTTTGTCAAGGGGGCTTGCATACAATGACGAGAGAGCGAGAGAGAGTGAGAGAGAGCGAGAGAGCGAGAGACAGCGAGTGAGACGCGGAGCGTGAGAAAGAGTGCCAGAGAGAGCGGGAGAAAAGGACAGAGTGTGAAGAGAGAGAGAGAGAGAGAGAGAGAGAGAGAGAGAGAGAGCGAGAGAGGGAGAGAAAGTGAGAGAGAGAGAGAGAGAGAGAGAGAGAGAAAGCGAGAAAGAGGGAGGGAGAGAGAGAGAGAGAGCGAGAGAGAAAGAGAGAGAGAGAGCACGGTGATTAAAAATCTTCAATCCACAAACGCTCAACTCACCCAATGGAGATGTAAGCTAAGCCAATACTAACTATTTTATCGGAGTTTTTTTCAGGAAACTGCGGCTTCGTTAGAGATTCTACCGTACCAAATGGCCAAAGGCATGGCTTAAGGGGTATGCGGAAAAAGGTACAGTAGCGGACAAAAGTATTGGGATTTTTTTATTTTTGACCAAATCTCGGGAGAGTTAGCTCGAGGTGATCTCAAAAGCTGGTCCCTAGTAGAATTTGAGATGCTTTTTCATATGCAACGGGTTAAAACCGGCCGCCCCATAGTACAAGAAAATTAGGAATTGGGATTTTTCTTTCTGAAGCCTAGAAAACGAGCAGGCAACCTCGCAGAGCTCTTTTATTGACGCAGAAGGCCCAACTACAGCTGAAATTTGTTTTTCTTATAAGCGATTCCATTCCGGTAGCGCTGAGGAATTTTTTGTAAATCTCGATTTTACTATGAAAATTTCCTTTTTTGCCTCTAACTTTTTGAATATAGTTTTAATGTCAGTTCGCTCTATATATTCGGATAGAGCAGCTCAAGACGAGCATTTTCATATACAATGGCCTGCAGGAAACCCGCTCCTCGCAGAGTTACATAGGGCCCAGTTTTTCAGTCGGCGGCGTCCATAGTAAAATGGGGCCCCATCTATGAAACGAACACGTAAACCCCGGTGCACAAAATTGGGCCATCTTTATCTGCCGTGGCATGCCGAAAAACTATGGACATACATATATGAAAATGCTCGTCTTGAGCTGCTCTATCCGAATATATAGAGCGAACTGACATTAAAACTATATTCAAAAAGTTAGAGGCAAAAAAAGGAAATTTTCATAGTAAAATCGAGATTTACAAAAAATTCCTCAGCGCTACCGGAATGGAATCGCTTATAAGAAAAACAAATTTCAGCTGTAGTTGGGCCTTCTGCGTCAATAAAAGAGCTCTGCGAGGTTGCCTGCTCGTTTTCTAGGCTTCAGAAAGAAAAATCCCAATACTTTTGTCGTCGAGCTTTTTGAAATTTTTTCCTAATTTTCTTGTGCTATGGGGCGGCCGGTTTCAACCCATTGCATATGAAAACACATCTTGAATTCCACTAGGGACCAGCTTTTGAGATGACCTCGAGCTAACTCTCCCGAGATTTTGCCAAAAATAAAAAATCCCAATACTTTTGTCCGCTACTGTAACAACATGCTATTTAGGTCCAGTCGATTGATTGATCAGGAAAGCCTCCAGCCAAAATACCGCTGATAGAAGCTGTGCGCTCCTTTATTTAAAGCTTGAATATGAGTTGCGAATGAAAAACAAATCTCCATACCTCCATATATTAGCATCGAAAAGGGGGTTTAAATAACGTTCAAATAAAGAAACTTGCATTCTCTCATCGGCAACAACTACATGAAGCGATCCGAGAAGAGTTCGTCCAGCGCCTCCAAGAAGAAGCACCAGCGGAAGCAGCAGCGCGAAGCCAACAAGGTATGCTCTCGCATAGTTCATAATTTTTTTTCAGAAGCTGGTCAAGAAAACGATGACGGTGCTCCAGCCCGCGCTATCGATCGGGCTGAGGACGAGGCACAACCCACCCCATGAAGCTACATGGCATTTCGTCGACGTCCGGCAGCAACCACACGTCATCAAGTTGCTGGGGCCCGAGCTCTTCCGGGAAATTCGCCAAAAGTTCCGCATCAACGAGGCGGAATTCTCCGTGAGTGGCTCTAGCTGGCGCTGATCGGCTCCACTAAAATTGTTAAAGGGCTCGAGAAAGATTCATTTGACCAAAAAAGCAAAGAATTTTGCTGCGGGCGGGAGTCGAACCAGCGATGGTTCGCCCCATAGCCCAGCGTGCTAACCTCTATACTATGGCGCCAACCGAGCCGCGGCGGCGAAAAGCCCTCAAATACCCTAGGGGGCGCTTTCGCAGTTTTTAGCGTTGGCCTGCGCCCAAACTGCGCTTTGCATAAAAATTTCGAATTCCGAATATGAATTACGTCGATAGTAGCGTCTCGTCGGTCCGTCACCCCGACGGACGCCTGGCCATCTTTCTCCAGCCCTTTGAAAGCTTTCCCCAACAGAAACTACCCTTGTTTTTGCAGAACAGCTTGACGGTCCGCCCCTGGAAAATCAAGGCGACGAATCCGTAGCGCGGGAATAGTGGCTCCGCCATATTCTTCACCGACGATGATGCATATGTGGTGAAGACTCTTAACGAGGCCGAGAGGGATCAGTTGAAAAAGATTCTTTTGGAATATATCAAGGTGCTGGGCACGCGGTGGGCGGTGAAGCTGTGCCTGATCGACGTGCTCACCCAAGGGGTAGGAACAGCTCGCGTCTTTCGATATATTTCTTTAGAAACCACACAATGTCCTGCGCCACAAGACCAACCTGCTCGACTACCTCAACGCTGTCATCTGCCTCCGACCCGGATGGCAAGAGCGCCGCGACGGTGCCCGGTTTCGAGCGCTTGCACCTCCACGACAACGGTAGAACTCCGCGGTTGTTTCGATTAGCATAGTTGCTCTGCTTTTCTGCGGTATGTAAGCTAGCAGTGGTTTAAAAAAGGTGGTGATCCCCACGGGAATCTTCGATTTATCCGTTTATATTCCGTTCAGGTGGGCGGTACGGGACTCCACGGCAGGACGAAGGCCGGCAACCAGGTCTTCATCAAGATGTGTATTATCGACGTGCTCCAGAGCGTCGTAGGCGTGAATCGTGGTGCCGCAGACACATTTTTAGGCAAAGCCGAAGGCCGCGGAGTACAAGGCCGAGTTCCTCGAAGGAATCGACAAGTTGATCTTCCCTGGACTCGTGTTCAAGAAGAAGAAGCCGAGCATCAAGACCAACGGTAGAATACTGCTATTCCAATCCTGCTCGTCGCTCTCTCTCTCTCTCTCTCTCTCTCTCTGACTCTCTTTCTTTCTCTCCGACGGCAGACGGTTTTTTTAGTTGCACCCGGTGGCCGTGCAATACCACCGCACCTTCCCTGACCACATCGAGAAGGTCGTGTTCCCCGATCTCACGGACCGGCTCAAGAAGCTCACCATCAAGGGCCACGGTAGATGCCATTTCCTTAGTTTGGTCTCTCACTCTCTCTCTCTCATCTCTCTATCGCTCTTTCTCCTCTCTCTCTCGCTCTGTCTCTCTCTCTCTATCGCTCTCTCTCTCTCTATCGCTCTGTCTCTCTCTCAATCACGAGGGCATTTTAACCATTTTGTTCGATTTTGAATTTCGTTTGAGGAGTTTATTTGATAAAGAATTTTATCTGATTGACTGGCTGACAGCCGATTCTAAATTAATTCATAGAAACTCTGGTCATAGTCATAGAAGGTCATAGAGGGTTTTGGTTTTGCAAAATCGACCCGGAAGGCCATCCTATAAATATTTGGCTCCAAAAATCAAAATTTTAATACAAAAAGGCTTTAAAACTCAAATAACCTTTTTTACAAGGGTCGTTTTACATTAATGCTTCACATTTCTTTGGAACTCTCTATCGATAGATGAATTTTAAATAATTCACGATTAGCGATTTATTTATTGATAATTTAATATAAATTTTATTTACAAATTTATTTTAATACCTCCCGTCGGTTTCAACCGCCAACGTTCTTCCAATTCGGAAATTCAGATGCTGGTTCTTCGGGACGTCGCGGTGGCGGAGGCGGAGGCGGAGGCGTAGGCGGAGGCGGAGGCGGAGGCGGAGGCGGAGGCGGAGGCGGAGGCGGTGGCGGAGGCGGTGGCGGTGGCGGCGGCGGCGGCAAGGGCGGCGAGAAGACGGGCGGTCGCAGCGGCAAGGAACATCACCCGAAGCGCCAGCTGACCACCCCGCTCTAGGCGCTTCTGGATGCTGGCCACTCGAACCAAGCGACGCCAAGTCTCTCATCTCGGCCCCATTTCCCCGTCTTTTAATGCCGCTTCTAGTGTTTGATACCATTTCCCTGATGTTACATCTCCAAGATTAGGGCCCATCTCATTTGTGTTTTAAGGCAATGTACCAAATCTGTTTTCATGTTAACCAGATTTTCTTTCCGACTTGCCCTATTTTCGCCGTTGTGTATATGTTTTGATGTCCAGCCACTCGCTCTGCCTCTTTCTTTTTTGTCTGGGTTGGCATTAATAACTGGGGAAAAGGTGTTCTCTCACCATGCTTTCATAAAATATTTACCGATTTACCTCTAATAAATATAACATGAATACTGAGCTCTTTCAATGGAAAAACAACCACCCTACTAGGAAAAAAAAATCACGAATCACTATCCGGTAGAGGGCAAATTTTAAGTTGTAGCCAGCAAAAAATGGGTCACGTTATGCACGAGAACACGCTTTTACAGGGCTTGACAAATGATGGCCACTGACTTATTTGTTCTATGGGCTCTTTTTCACTATGGACTGAATTTGACCGCGCAGCGACATGCGACGCGTAACTCCATCCGGGCTCACAATACATAAAGCAATCGAATGACGACCGCGTCGCGTGTCGTGGTGCGGCAAAATGTAAGCAATATACCCCGCGACACTCAATACCCGCGACACGCGTCGCGCGCTTAGCCTGGACGTCGTGCAATCCATTACGAGATCGAATGGCGAGCGTGCGCATTGCGTATTGCAGGGCAGAACAGCAGTGTAGAGCCGACTTGTGTGCTCCAGTGACCCTTTTTGCTTTTTGGTAGTTCAGCAACAAAGCCTATTTCTAGGATCACCGTGTGCGCGATTTAGGCCTGGCCTTCGCTCTGGCGCCGCAGGCCCAAGAAAAGGTCCTTGGCCCAGGCTCTGGCGCCGCAGGCCAGGGATGGGTCCTTGACACACGCTCTCGCGCCACAGGCTAAATTCGGAAGAAAAAGCAGTAGCTAGCGCCGAAGGCTCAAAGATTGGCGCAATGCAAGCGCAAAGAATGGTCTGACTCAGGTTATTGCGCCGCAGGCAAAAAAAGAAGCTTTTCAAATTCATGGTTCCTGGACAGGGTGTGGAAATGGGCCGCGAAGCGGTCGTTGACGACTGTATTGTAGACCACCCGTCTGGTCCCATTAGTTGTTAACTGTTGACTTTGAATAATTCTTGCGAATTCCCATGGCAAAAGGAAAAGCCGTCCATCTCCTGGATGATATTGTTTGGAGCGACTTCCGGCGTATTCTAGTTGCTACCTAACAAAGAGGGTGGTTCAGATTTTTTAACATCGAACGCAAATTTTTTCGAAAATGTGATAAGCGAGCAGTGTTCTCGGTGTCATTGCGCACCTAGGGACGTGTCAAACATACCCTGAAGCTTCTCGCAACTAGCGACGGAGAAAGCCATACCTACCGGAAGGCTTTTTGATCCCCGGTTTTCCACTTCCGGAAACCGTGGGAGAACAGCCGGCTCCCCTCGTGGGAACCGTGCACGTGCCTCTCCCCTTCGCCCTCATGCCGAGGGACAGCCGTTCGCCTCGCATGGCTGAACGCCCTCGCCACGACGCCCACGCCGGGCGACAGCCGCGCCCCAACTGTTGCGGAATGCCCGGGCGCCCGCTCTTCTTGCAGCCCTTTTTTGCTGCCCTCCGGCGACTATAAAAGAACCAAGGGATCAACCCAAATCGCTTCACCCTCCAACCGATTATCCCAACCCGATATCCATTACCACATTCACGGTGCTATAAATCTTTAGTATTCTTTATACTCTAAAAGTTATCTAACTACATTGCAATACAATATATGCCTAGCCGACTCAACTACCACTGACAGGTATCCTTTTGTACAAAGCTCTTCCCCTAACCCGAAAGCACTGGAACAACCTGACGGAAGTTGCATGCAAATGCACACAAACATACAAACAATATTTTTATGTCTAGTAGGCTAGTAGGATACAAGGGTTGAAAAACCGCTTGGCGGCTATTCAACCTTGGCCTTGTCCAACACAAAAAAGTTGCATTTTTATCACGACGCCCGACGAAAAAAACAAAAGCACCGCGCACCCCCCTAAATTAGCTTTCCCACATCCGGTCAATGCGAATTGCCCCTAACAAATCGGCACCTGTGATGATTAAATAAACTTAGTTTTAATAGCAAAAATATGTTTAAATTTGAATAACAAACATGTGCCCTAACAAACCAACGGCGATCATTTTTAAGTGTTTATTTGTAACGGTAATGACTGCAGGACATACAAAACAAAATCTGATTAAGAAAAGTGCTGGCCGTCCCATTTGATCCTTGGTACTCCCTTTGGCAGGCACATCGGCCCATATTTATCTGTGTAAAAATTTGCGATGAATTGCCGATATCCGGCCAGGATTTGCCTAGCGTGCGGACCGCAGTTTTGCAGCAGAAAGAGGTAGATACCGCACTAAAAAAAGAATGGGGGATACTGTCGCTGTTTCATCGGAGGACCTGCTTTTTCATTCTGCACCGTCCGCCGTCTATCCGAAAAATTTGGCAATTTCTGCTTTCCTCCGGTCTAGCCTTCAACCCGTCACCCAGGCGTTGCAACATTTTTTGCAGCAACAGCCGCTCCCTATGATCTTCCAGCTGCAAAAATATTCCGAAATTGTGAATTCTGAAGAAAACGTACGTGCTGGTCGTGAATTTCCGCATAGATCAAGACGACACGGCGGCTATCGGGTTCTGGCGGATGCTGAAGATACCATGGATCCTTGTCAAGCTTGCGTTGTGGGACTACCCCCGCGACAATCGATTCTCCGCTCCTCTCGCTTCGATACCCAAAACCTTACCGAAAATATACAGTTGTTGATTAGTTTCCGCATTATCTTCAGCGCCTGCGGCCACTTTTCCGGGTAGCTCCCTTGTTGGCCGAGGGCAACAAATTGACAACCGGCCAGCTGAAAGTTCAAGCGTCTTGGCGACAGCGTCGACTTGTATGTCAGTGTGTTGGGTAACCCAGACGGCTCCCCGACACTTGCGCCGCCGACACTTGAGCCGCGGATCGTAGTGAATTTGGTAGTTCGCGCGAATTTTGTATGTAATTACTGTATTTTGCATCAAAGCTTGACTGGAAGTGTGTAACGCTAATCTGGGAGCGCTCCTAAAGGCGTCAGGCAAGGTGGGCCGTCGCTTCGGATGGGCGGCCGCTCCACTCTTTCGAAATCAGGGCGCCTGGGCGCTACGCGCTCCTCGGGCGCCCCGATTTCGAAACCCTGTACGAGCTCGCACCCATCCGAAGCGACTAGGCCCCGGGTGGCACGAAGCCTTTTTTCTAGTCGCAGAGCGGAAGAAGTAGCAATTACCTTCACTCCAAATCGAGTGAATCCTAGCGCAAAACCATCTTTCTATCGTTTCTTTAAAGCGCACGTTCAGGGAGGGGCCGTGTACTCGTCCCAACGTGTACACCCTATGGACGTAGGGACCGCGCGCACTGCCTGCCCGTGCTGTGACAGGCCATTCCCCTCCTTTGCGGCGTGGGGTACCCCTCGCCCCCTCGCCAGGATGCACCTGTGGCTGACTGGTATGCGACCGCGTCTCCCGATCGGGAGGCCCGGGTTCGACCCCCGGCCGCGGCAAAAATCTTTGCTTTTTTCCAAAAAGCGTCCCTGAACGTGCCCTTTAACCAGAATCGGGCTCCGCGCAAACAATTGCATCTTCATGTAGCTGAAACTCAGTATCGCGGCGCCAGTGTCGCGGCAAAAATGTCAGGCGCAAGTGAGGCGGCCCAAGTGTCGCGGCGCATGTGTCGCGGCGCAAGTGAGGCGGCGCAATGTCGCCGCGCAAGTGTCGCGGCGCAAGTGTCGCGGTACCAACCCAGACAGGCCAAATAAAGTATTACAAACCTGCTGCGAGACCGCAGCTAGTTGGCCGTAGACATAATAATGGGGATCATTTGGGGTCCGCAGCGTGTACCAAGCCTATAAAATAATATCATCTTCAAAATCGAGTATGTAATATATTCTGGAATAGGATTGAAATATAATCAAGTCTTGAAAAAAACCTGAAATTGATCGAGAGTGAGATCGCCATTAAAATCGTATTAAAGGGATGCGCAAAGCTTGGCTATAGACCTTTATTCCTATGGATTCCCTATGAATTGGATCGATCCCACGGCCACGAAATTTTCCCAATCTTGGCCATGGAGAAAACATTACGCAATACGAAGGCGTTGCGCGCGGCGGGATCGATCCAATTCGTAAGGAATCCAAAAGAACGAAAATTTAGGAGAGACTTTGCCCATCATGCCCTTTGAAGGTTTGTCTTGGCGTGCCGCGTAATTATCACTACCTAGCCATGGAAATCGGCTCTTACATTTACTTGCCCTTTGACCGATATCTAACTACAGGCCAATTAGAGTCGCATTGCGACAAGATAATTCCACGGCTTAACCCCATCAACTTTACCGAAAATCCTCCCTGATAACCATAGATGCCTCCAACGCAGTAAAACTACTTTGAATACCTCGGAAAGCCACACAAAATGCTTTTAAAGACCCTTGGAAAGATGGCCGGGCGTCCCCAGGGGTGAGGGACCGGCGGGGCGAAACCATGCACGCTTTCCATCGCGTAAGGGGCCCCAAAACCCCCACTGGATTTCAAGAAAACGGGTCTATAGCCATAACTTTTTTGATTGACTATATTTTTGGCTGGAAACTTCCATAAAAATAGTTTATAGCCATCCCCACCGATGGTAAAAATTTGAGACTGATTGGATAGATGCTGCCATGTTCTGAACGGAAAGAGGTTTTTGGGGCGTTCTTTAGTTGAAAAATCGTCGGAAAGGGCATCAAACACTTCAGGAAATTCAGGGAGTACTTTCCTTGCCCTTAGCAAGCTTTTCTGTAGAATTTTTCGTTATTACTATTTATAAATAGCTTTATTTTAAATTGTCGCCCAGTGACGTGCACGAGTTCGGCACTAGGGTACTTGGGGCCCCTCCGCCGCCCTCCCCCACTCGACCCCTTTGGTGTGGAGGTAGCGCGTTGGACTGCGGGGCGGACCATCCCTGGTTCGACCCCCGCCCGGCGCACACCCTCTTGCTTTTTGACCGATCCCACCTTTCCAGAGGCCTTTAAACTATACATGGGTCGACGCTTGCATGCGCCGCATAAGCGTGGCTGGCCACGCTCTTCCGGAGCGTGGAGAACCACGCTTATGCGGCGCTTTATGCGTGCTTTTTCACGCGCGCGATTTAACTCCAGATGCAAATCAAAAATTTAAAGGACATATATTTATGATTTCGATTTGCAAAAATGAAGGGCCGATACATAACTATCAGGGTCATCTTTAAATTTTGATAAATAAAGAAGATAGATCGTGATTCAAATTCTTGTTAGTTAAATCCTCGAAAACGGATCGATTTTTGCTTTCATGTCCCTTGGAAAACCTTTATTTTGCATTTTTAGAAACTTTGCATAAGCGTTTCCGGAGCGTGGCGGGCCACGCTCATTTCGGCGTGGTTTATTAAGAGGCACGCGCGCCAGCGTGGCTCTCCACGCTCCGGAAGAGCGTGGCCGGCCACGCTTATGCGGCGCATGCAAGCGTCGACCCATGTATACTTTAAACATCTCCCCTAGCCAAAACGCTTTTTAAAGGGATGCCGACGGCATAGTCAATCGGTTACGCGCGGAAAAGAAAATGTCTCTGCGCCTCTCCCCTGGGCGCGGTCTCTGCCCTGTTGGCTACTTGCCAATTTGTTGATGGGGGGGGGGGGATCGACACATGCCGTCGGCAGCCCTTTAAAGGGATACCGACGGCAGTTGTCGATTCCCCCTTTGAAATAAGTTATATTCTGGTATACTGATTCAACCTATAAGCTTAAAGGGATGTGCAAGGCAGGGCACCACTTCCCTCACCCGCGCGCTACTTGGGACTACGTCCCCAACAAATAAGCCAAATTACCAAACCCTGGCTTTTCACCCCTAAATGCCATTTTTGCTTTTTGGTATAATTCTTTTTGTTGAAATTCAGCATGGTCAATTGAGCTAGAACAGTTGAGATCTCCCCCCCCCCCCCCGTTTCCTCTTTGTAGAATCAATTCTGCAGCACACAGACACAGACTGTTTGCACTCACAGACTACAGAACACACTTGACGCCTGAAGAAAATTATTTTAGCTGATACCTACCCATGTCGGCCTGCACAACGCGAGCGGTGACAATTCTGACATGATGTCGTGATGTTTAAAAGGTCCCGTTCTAAAGTTTATGTTGCTCGAAAACCGAAGCCCTGAATACTGGCGATTTCAGAAATGGTCTCATAATCTGCAAATTTAGCGACCTCACAAAGTCATCGGGCAAAAACAGTTTCGCCCAAAATTCGAAAACGCGATGGCTCTCGCCCTGCGGCCGCCGCTGATGATTATCCAAAAAGAGAGCTCTTTATCAAAGGGACTGCGATTTGAGACTTCGCTGCCCTTTTAAAGGGACTGTGCTTTTTCGATAGCTGCCGAAAAACCAGAAACATGATTTTGAAAGGGTAAGAGCACCTCGCACGTCCGGCAGCAAAGTAGCATCCTCTTTGTAGGGTAGGTAGTAGGCGCTGATAGACCGTAGGCCACTGCAACCACATCCAAGAGAGTCAAGCTGATTTTCTCATCGTTCTCCGCCACCCTCGCTCATTTTCCTCTACACGTCTCCTTTCCCTCTCTCTCCCTCGCTTTCTCTCGCTCTCTCTTGCACACTTTCACTATCTCGCTCTCACTCTTATTCTCACTCTCCTTCTCCCTCTTACCACGCACTTTTTCGCCAGACGAGCTCCGGTATTGAATTTGCATGGGTGCGATTGGCAGGGTGGCGTTAAATTTGTGCAGCAACCGCGTTTGCGAAGCAAAGTCCAGCCCTTCAATTAGATATTTCGCATAGGGGTTGGGTTTTCTGAAATAAGTAGGTAGTCTGGCAAGTGTGGAGGCACTTACGGACTGCCACAACATGAACACTTCTTTTCCTTCTTGGGGCCAATGCAGTCGATAGCGGCAGCACAACCTTTTTGACACGCCGTCCACCCCAGGCGGTCGTTACACCTGAAAACTGAGATGTGCACCTGACACTCATTGTCATCATTCCGTGAATAACTGTCAAATAATCGACCAGTAATTGTTTGTCATGAGGAAGCCGTGTAGAGGAGTTCCACGTTCATCGTAGTGCAGGGCCAGCTTGACCCAGTCGAGCCATTGTCCTGGAACGAAAAAAAGAGGTTTTGGGGATCAACCAGGGGCGTAGCTTGCCCCAAGTTTCGGGGGCGGCGAGCAGCGACATTTCGGAGGGGGCAGCCAGAAAATGCCTGCTCCCCGGCCCTACGCGCCTGAGGCTACCCCTCGCCCCCCGCCCTGCCCCCCCCCTGCCCCCCCGCCCCGAAATCGGGCGGGCCCGAAAAAACATAAGGGTTATTACTTCGGACTATGACTGATGACAAAAACCCTTATGATTTTTTAACTCAAAAATTTTTTGCCTGGACGCTGTTTTTATTGCATTTTATGCTATTTTGAGTCCTGCGGCGATGTTAATTAATAATAATTAATAGTCCTGGGCAGCCGGCCCCCGCTGCCCCCGCCCCTTCTACGCGCCTGGGACCAACCGTCGAATCAACCAACCGTGAATGATCTTTCTCCTCATATAGACGCAGGTGCCATACGCGTCGCGGTAGGGCTAAAATTTCTCTTTCCGGGATATAGCTTTAATAATCCCATTCCTCCAACGATTGGAAAGGGGTGAATCGGAGTGATTTTCCCCAAACCCACCCTTTCCTTGCAGTGAAAAGATACGTGCGTCAGCCGACCCTTGAGATAAAACTGGCAAGACGGCCAATTGAAGAACATCTGAAAGTAGCAAATGGTATTTGAGCTCGAAAATCCGAATTCGGGCGCTTCCCGTTAGCGGCGGGGGAAGCTATTTTTTACCTTTCTGTCTATGGCTCCCCGGTAATAAAGTGTAGTGTGTTTGCATATCGTTTTGCAGTTTTAGATTGCTGGGAACTTTGAAAAACATTTTTAAAATTTGCGAAAATTTGGTAATTTGGATCATTTTTGGTAATTTTCAAACATATTTGACCAAACCGTGAAAAATCTGGAGAATTTTATTGGTTTTTTTGAAGAGACTACCGGAAAATTCGTCCCCCCACGCCATCCGCTTAACGGGAGGAACCCGTATTCGAGTCTCGTTCGAAAAAATATACCGTGTTGATGCATCGGAGGTGCACCTTCAACAGGAAGTCGAGGTGGTGCAGGACAAGTTCCTGCATCTCGTGCCGTAGTTGACCAAAGTTGATGCGAGACACTGGCATTACGGATTGTTGAAGACCTAAGGTATGGGTGGCGATTAAGATCAAACATAGATCGAGAAGCAGAAAAAATTCCAAGTCTAAACGGAAAAGTATCAGTACGTTGGAATGATTAGTGAAAAAGTGTGTAGTGAACGAGAGGGGGGGGGGAGAGAGAGAGATAGAGAGAGGGAGAGAAAGAGAGAGAGTGAGTGAGTGAGTGAGAGAGTGAGAGAGAGAGAGAGAGAGATAGAGAGATTAAACCCGAGAGAAACCCGAGGTGGCAAAAGTTTCGACCAATCCGGTGCGGCAGTTTTCCGAGAATCTTTTTAAGGCTCCGAACTTGAACGGTCTCTTAAACCCCAAAAATAACTTTTAAAAATTTCAAAATAGTGCCACCCTGCCAATTCGGCCATATTCTTTCAGATTGCATCAAAAAACCGGGGTCAAAAAAACTGTGTCAAGGCATAATGGGCCCCCCCGTTCGGTGACCTGTTCGAGTCACCTGCGGACAGCCATTTGAACATCAGAGCGTCCCGCCATAGAATCAACTGGGTACGAATGCTTAGACGATACCCGAACCGCCGCCCCCATATTCGCTGATAGGGAATGGTTTTGAGGCGATATTGGAGTTCGCGGTATGAAATAGCTCATTCGATAGAACTTGAAATTCTGAACAGATGCCATCTTTCAAACAACTGCTGAACGATTACCGTCTTCGAGAACGAGTTTCTGAATTTTCGCATTTTGTCAAGTGAGGACCAAAAATAGTGCAAATCCGCCCGTTCAGAGCGAAATTTCTTGGAAACCCGAATCGTTAAGCAGTTTTGAAAGACGGGATGTGTTGAAAATTTCAGGCTCTATCGAATGAACTATGTCACATTGCAAAACTCGAATATCACCTAAAAATAACCCCTTATTTAGTACGGGATCTCGAAAACTGGGTTTCCTACTACACTCTGGGGAAAAACTATAGAATCACTCGTTTTTTGCGCATAACTTTATTTCAGCTTAGCAACCGACCTGATATTTTAGCCTAGCTACCATTTAGCATCAGTAGACAGGGTGCCAAGTTTCGAGATGATCGAAATAGTAGATCGACGAGCAATGGCCGAGAAAATGTTGTGGAAAAACTATAGAATCGCTTTCTAAATTAGGAATTTCTGGAGTTTTAAGGCAGTCTCTCTTACCAGTCTTGGCGGGAATTCGCTAATTCTGGCCAGTTCTATAATGCTCTTCTTTAGCTGGTCATATCATCGTCATGACGGGGTTGCCGGAATCACGATGCATTATAGAACTGGCCAGAATTAGCGAATTCCCGCCAAGACTGGTAAGAGAGACTGCCTTAAGACACCAGAAATTCCTAATTTAGAAAGTGATTCTATCGTTTTTCCACAACATTTTCTCGGCCATTTTTTCCGCGAGTATGTTCTACTATTTCGATCGTCTCGACACTTTGCACCCTGTTTACTGATGCTAAATGGTAGCTAGGCTAAAAATATCAGGTCGGTTGCTAAGCTGGAAATAAAGTTGTGCGCAAAAAACGAGTGATTCTATAGTTTTTCCCCAGAGTGTATATACAGGGTGTCCAAAACCCCCCCCCCCCTCTAGCGGTCCGTGGGAAGCTCAGATCAGGATGATTTTTATACCATTCGGACGCCCGCGAAAAGGCGAGAAAACAAGCGGGCTTCATTTTCTAAGGGATTATTCTGATTCGTCCGATATTCAGCGTTTTTCTAAAAGACGGGTAGCCCTTCAATAGGAATTTCGCAATTAGCATGCGGATCTCGCGTAAATCTGCCGTTTTCATGGATTTTGGAGGCAAAAATTTGCCAATAAAAATACATAATAAAGAAAATGAACTCTTCTTGTTTTCTCGCCTTTTTTGAGAGCTTTCGATAGATACCTAAACGGCGAGAATCGGACACGTCTGGGCTCCGCTAGAGGGGGGGTTGGGACACCCTGTATAAAAAAATAGTGTATGCGTGTGTGTGTCTGTGGACACTTTGCATAAATGACTCGAAAAAACCGGGTTTCCAAGATATCGCCAAGGGGGGAAGGGTTTTCGGGCCCAGTCGAAAGGTATTAAGGGGTATTCGAGGGCGTAGATTACTGCACGCTTATCAGATTTTGAAAAAAATGAGGATTTATACCCTATTTTAGTGTTTTAAAAACATATGGAACCGCCCTCATTTGCATACCAGGCGCTAGGAGGCTCATTTTGGATTTTTTCACGCTCTCAGTCGGTCGCTTTTGTGATTGTTAAGGTTGAGAGGTTCGCTAGAATTATGCAAAGTGCCCAACGACTTAAGATTTCAGGGTTATTTGAGCAAAACTACAAGTTTTGATACATTTTCTTCTAAACAGCCAGCACAGCAAAAATACAATAAAATTGTGTACAAGAAAACAAAGACATTCAGCTGCCACGATCCAATAGGTTGAGTAAATCGAATCAATTTTTCAAAACGTTTTTGGAGGAATCGGGCCTTCTCAACCACGAATAAGAGCTGTACTATGTAAAAAATCGAAACTTGTAGTTTTGCTCAAAGTTCTGTCCAAAAAGCAAAACAAAAAATCGTGAGCGGATTCGAAGCGGGGGGGGACTGTTGGGGCCGAGCTAACTATTTTTTTGCGTTTCTTTTTGCTACAAACAAAACTCTCAGTATATTTTTCAACGCTCTGTCGAATGGCACTAAAGAAATTTTGTAAAAATATCGAAAATGTCGAAAACTTGATTTCATTCTATGTCCTTCATGGAAACAACGTTTAATACTTGTTTGTTATAACTATTTTGTCTTACATTATTTTGAGCTAAAATTAAAAGTTTTCGTATATTTTTGGATGCTCTGTCGAATGGCACCTTTAAAATGTCGAAAAAATAGCGCGAATGCCGAAAACAGCCGCTCCACCCGATTTTCAAAGCTCATTTTTGTATTTGCCATAACTTTTTTATATTACACTAATTTAAGCTAAAACAAAAACTGTTAGTATAGTTTTCGATGCTCTATCGAATGCCGTTGCAAAAATTCCGAGACAATAACGCAAACATCCAAAAAGGCCTGCCTGTCCCGTCCGTCCCGGCTTTTTCGGCCCCAGAAATTTGCATGCGGCCGGGCCGACGAGGCTCGGCTTTTCTCGCCTGCCCCGGGTCAAGCCAAAATGGCGGCCGAGCCCGGGGCCGCAAGGCCGCACGCTAATCAGAAATCCCGGTTGTAAATCACTTTCAGTCAAAATATCCATGCAAATTTGAAAAAAATCTATTTTCCAAGGTTGCCATACACCTCCAGCCAGATCAGAACAGGTTCAGACTCGTATTTTAGAACTTTTTTATAATTGGGAAGAATTATTAAACAAGTTCGATGAATTTTACCAAGACCGATGTCCTAACTGTACCAACGCGCTTAAAATTTTCATTGCAAATTTGCATTTTAGCACCGGAATGTAGACGCATATGAGCTATTTTAGTTTCCGGGGCCGAGCCGAATCGGCCGAGCCCCGCCCCGGAAAAGTTCGGTCGGGCCCGGGCTCGGCCCCAAGAATTTGCATATTTTTCCGGGGCCCGGAAGCGGGCGATTTTTTCATGCAAATTAGATTATAGGCCCGGCCCCGGGGCCCGGCCTCCCGGAATTGCCATGTCTGGCAACACCCTCTTCTGTCCGTGGATATTCTCTACCTCACTTCTGGCGCATGCAATTTTTTTCCTAACAAAGAGGCTGACGGAGGGACGCACCTATGGACAAATCATAAAATCCATGACGTCTTTTTATATCCAGATACGACTGGATCATTCAGGTAGAAATTGCATGCGAATGGACCCACACAGACACTATTTTTCGGATATTTATCTGCGTGAAACACCTCTTGATTGTCAGTAAAAAATCAGTGCAACATGTAAGGAAATGGGGCCATAATAAGAATTTTCTGTGCCCCTGTCGTGTTGTGGTTGTTGTGGGGCGTGTCCCATGTGGAGCTCACAGTGCGGACTGGTGGATGAACCGAAATATTCTTTATTGCATGGGGCCGTAAGGGAATATCGGGGAATTTATGGAAAGCACCCCCAACTGCATACATTTTAATTAGCACCAACCCGGCACGGAATGAATTCGAAAAATTCGATATTGGTTGGATATAGGTATTCAGCGCGAGGTAGTACCGCGGCTCGCGGAGCCCAGTTTGTTGCTGCGGCTACCTGACGGGCCGGCCGAGTCGACTTCTTCTGAAAAGCCAATTTCCAAAGCCAGCCGCACCCTTTCCGGAATTTTTCTAAATATGCTTTTCAGGTCCTAGCCTTTGGCATGCTCCACCACTTCAATCAACTCCTAGATCAGGGTGGGATCTTGAAACGGCGCCTAGTCTGTTTTGTGCCAACCTTTTCACTGATGCCGTTCTCAAAATCAAGTTTTCAAATCTTGCAAGGGTGCTAAACTAGAGCCGGAAAAGGCGGTAAAATTTTACGTTTGAGCCGGTCTGGCTTCAAATCTGGAAAGTAAATCACATCCAACCTTTGCTTCCAAAGAATTTTATTTCCCCGTACTGACTGTGATTGTTTTACTTTGGCCGTTTTCTAAAATTACTGCCGACTGCCGACTTTTGAGAAGACGCCCTGGCTTTGAGAGTTTCCCCTGCGAGCCACGTCAGAAGGCCGCATCGAGAATTTTAACGTGGAAGTGCGTCGTCGCGTGGACAAGGTATGAACAGAATGAGCATGTCCTCATTTAACCGAGAAATTTCACGTAGCTCGACCTGACGATTTGATGTTCAGCTTGCTGATCTGGGTCGCAAGTGAGGCGGGAAAGAGCCTATCACTGATTAGCTCGGAGAGCTGTTTCTTGCTCAGGTTTGGCTTTCCATCGTCGGTTTTCACCTAAAAATTTATGGACGGGGGGATATATATTCAGACCCATTTCAGCAACACATCTATGAGCATCATCCGCAGCACGTACTGATCGCCGTTCATCGTCGTTCCCGTGGTACGAGGTTGCCCGATTTCCGGAATACTCTAGAAATTCGGGACGAAGTTCGATTTTATGCCCAAAAAGTGTCGTGTAAGTCGTCACCAAGTTTTACCACGTTCTTATAGAAATTCGTGGGTTCTCGGATTTATTGGATTTATCGCATAGAGGGTTAGAAAATTACTGCGCGTTTTTTGACACTGCCCGCGTCTAGGATCCAAAACTATCCGCAATTTGTCTTACGCCTCGTGCATATGATGGGAAAATAGGGAGGGCACGCTTGATTCTATCAGCTGCGCTGTGTTGCGAAGCGAATTGCCGTGGTCAGGTATGTCAACTGGTGCACTTGTAAGGAAATGTGAAAAGAATGTACACGTCATCGTTTGGGGTTCTTTAGGATTCGCGCGGGGGGGGGGACTAATTTTTTCCTGGCGGCCCCGGTTGACCTCATAATAGTCGGTAAAGGTTGCTTAACGGGGGTGGAAAATAATGAGGTGGAAACTATTTTTGTATTAATAAAGAATATCCTGCGATTTTCAGAACGCCATCGGATAAAGCGTCGAAAATTATACTAAGAGATTTAATTTCAGTCCAAAAAACCTCATTTGAACGATTTTTAATTCATCAAACTTTTTAGCTTAATAAAATAATAATTTTAAATTATGGTGTGTCGGGTTGAAATTAAATATCTTCGCATAATTTTCGCCGCTCTATCCGTTGGCATTCATAAAATCCCGGCGAAAAAAACTCAAAACGCCCCACGCACGAACTCGACATGAACTTCTTTTTCTCTATGTTAAAGTGCCCCCAAACGCGCTCGTTTACACCCATTTCAGCCATTTAGGAAACCTGGCTTAAATGAATGAAATACACCATACGAAGCAGTAAAAAATTCTCTACAAGATGGTATAACTGTTTTGTATTGACACACAAAAACTAAGAAGAACAGTTTTGTAGAAAACAGCCTATAGGGGTCTCAAAACCTACTTTAAAAGCGTTAAATCTTTTTAAGGAAAGCTTTTCGGCAAAAACTGATATTAAGGGCTCATATTTATTTTCAATTCTCTATCGAATGGTGTATCATTTGTGGCAATACCCGCTCGAGCTCAAAAAACTTCCCGCGTTAGTATATTTTTTGACGTCATTGGCACGACAGGTCCCTATACAATGGTTTCCACCCCCGTTATTGTCCCCCCCGCGTTAAGCAACCTTTACCTTTTTTTAGGGATTCGCGGGGGAGGGCGGTTGACCTAATAATAGTCGAGGCTAATAACAAGAAAAAGTGTGAAAAATATTTCAGAAAGTCGAAAATTTGGTCATCCCCCGCGAATCCTCAAGGTTCTAAAAAATTTTTGGTCCTAAAATTAAATTTTTAATTAAAATTTGTGTAGTTTTTATGCCTACGAATAATTCAAAATAATTTCGAAACGCATCCGCTATTCCTAAAAAAATTTAGGCTGGTGCCGGAAGAAATTAGGGTTTGCTTGCTTTTGCCTTTTGCTTAACCACCGTTTCACATACAGGCCCAGCATCATCTAATGGATCGACACAGAGCAGCAGAGAATAGTCGCGAAGTTGCATGCGCTCGAGAAACTAAAAAATGGGCTTGTGACGTCAGACAAGCTTAAAGAAACACTCAACTCCCAATTCAATAAAATCGGTCCACGCCATAGCAGCGCCTGTTTCCTAAAGCGTGGATAGGGGACCTGGTGGTTGAAGAGGGCTTTGTCCTGCCCCACGCACCAGAAGCCTGTTGGCTCGATGGCTTTGTGCTCCCTTGCCGCGCGCAAGGCCCAGGTTCGACCCCCCGGGAATCCCATTTTACTTTTTCGTCAAAAGCCGGGAGTTGAATGTTTCTTTAAGTGCTCGGAAAATCTCCCAATCTAGTGATCCTCACGGTTAGATCAAGCTCAAACTGAGCCAGCAAACGGGCCCTTGCGGCTGGAGCAACGGCAAAGCCCTTCGGAAAAGCAGCGAAAAATTCCTTCTCGCGGCCCGATTCCATGTCTTTCGCACATGCTCGTCCCGTGCCCTAGACACCTTAGATAAAAACAAAAAAAAGTGACTTTGAGATCGAAAGTGCGGCAATGCGCGCTCAGGCCAGCTGCGAGATTGGGCTGAACTAGGTAGCCGCCGGCATCATGTCCCTAAAGCGGACGGCATAGAAATTTTTTTTTCGTGAACCCAACGCAATTAGAGGTTCTAACCCGCCCTCGCGTCCGCCCGCGCCTACTCTTTTTAACAGACGACTGGGGTCGAAAAATGTACAGTGTTGGGCAGCTCCCAAATACCATGAGAGCAAAGAGACCATGCGTTACCATGCAAAAACGCTTCGTTAAATATGTCTGTAATCCTATCCTAACGCGAGAAAACGCAAAAACTATTTTTTTTTTGTACGGCCGTTTACTCGGCCGTCAGGCCGAATTTCGGGATGCTTTTCGGCATGGAGCTGGAGAAACACATGGCAGAAACGCATTTTTTTTGCCGAAATCGCTTCATTTAACGATTTTACAAGCAAAAAGCGACTCCATAAGAAGATGACCGAAGTGCCGCATTGTCGAGGCAATGAGCCGAAGCCCAGGTGGAATTGAGGGCTATAATTTAGACCACTAATGTAATCGATGGTGGAGGCTACGCGTCTTATTATTTTTGAAATTTCGAGCGGCTACAGCCTAAAAGCGATAGAGGTATGCACAATCAAATGCTCTCTAGCCCTAGCGACGGAATCGCAGAGCCGATCCCTCCAGATTTTTTTATTTTCTCCAATAAGTAAAAATGGTGTCAACCAGCCGTAGGCAAAACGGTTCCGAGTTACTGTTTTGCATATTAGGCATTTCGCTCAAAGCTAGCCCTTATTTTCCTGGCAGTGGTTCTTGCCTACGGCAACTTTATGGCGCTTGTCAAACAGGCAACGGTCAAAAATTTTAGACTACAGGGTGTCCCAAAAAGCCCCCCCCCACCTAGCGGTCCGCAGTCGTGACCGATTTTTACGATATAGGTATCAATCGAAAGCTCTCGGAAAGGCGAGTCCAGCACGTCTCACCGATGTTTGCTATATCGGAATTTTTTGCTCGATTTTCGGCCTTTTTCACTCAAGAATGTCACGCTTTATCGCCAAAAACTCAATTTTACCCGGTTTAAGCGCAGGCTGCCGCAGTCCCATATTCCCTGTACCCAAAAAGGCCCTTTCCGACGCCCAGGTTTTATCAAATCGCTACAGTATGGGTTTTTGACGACGCTAAAGGCGTTAAAAATGTTTTCGAAATCTGAAAATCATAGAAAAAAAGTTAGTTAGATAGACCCTATTTCCAGCTCGCCAACTTCTTACCGTACGGGACGGCGCTTGATTCAGAAATTATCAAAACTCTTCAGGAAGCATATTACACTTTAGCTAACACTGTGAAAAATTTCATTAAGAACCGAAAGCATCCCGTGAAGCTATAGCTTAGAAACGAAAATATGGTAGAATTTTGGCCAGTACTGTATACAGGGACGTAGCGTAATACAGGCCCCGGGGGCCCGGGCCCCCCCCCCCGAAATCGGCCGGGGCCCGAAAATTTCATAAGGGGGACCCTTATGATTTTTATTTTCTTAAAAATTTTGCTGCCTGCGGCGCTATTTTTGCACGTTTTTACGGCTATTTGTAGAGCTACTGTAACCTTTTTCAAAAATTTTTGCCCGCGGCGCTGTTTTTTCGGCAATGTTTCGAGTTTTTTGGAAAAAATTTTTGGGGGCCCCCCGAATTTTTTTTCTGGCTACGCCCCTGACTGTATACTATATATTTTATTCAGTAATTGGAAAAGAGTGGAGGAAAAAACAGGCGATGTCAAAAGCTTGCAGCTCGAAAAACCTGGAAGGACCAACAAAAAGAGAGAAGGGGACCACAGAAAAGAAATTGGGACAGATCCAATTTTCCCAAATTTTGCACGAAAGCCTTTTGCATTGCGAGTTGGCGGGCTTTGGAGACTTTCGTGTTCTCCGATGTTCCGCTTTTCCGTGGGGGCCAAACCTCGCATGCGTACTCCAAAATCATCCTAACTAATGTGATAAATAGCACGCCTATACGTAATCGCATTGGGGATTTGAATTTTTTTGATACGAAGGAAGGATATACGGGCAGCTTTTAACCGTACAGCGCTGATATTGGATTCAAAACTACCATAAATTTCTCATTGTAAGTGACCCCTAGGTCCTCAATAACATTCGCCCTTGGTATGGGGATATTTGTATATGGAGCTTGAAAGCGCGCCGGGGGGAACGTTGGTCAGAATAAAAGTTTTGAAGGTGGAAACATCTGGTTTTCAACACGCCAGTTTTCGACGCCATTTATGTCTGCCTGAAGAGCTCTAAAAGCAGCATTGGTCAAAGAGGGACTGCGTGGCAGACCGGCGTCAACTTTCAAGTCACCGTCAAAAAGTTCGCAAGTTCGGACTGTTCGCAAGGAAGGATGAAAGGTCGTTCATATATAGAAAGAAAAAGGAGTGGATACGCTACCTTCAGACCTTGATCCTCAAAAAAAGTTCATAACGGAAATTTCAATTTGAAATTTTGTACACTTATTGAGCTCGACATGCGGGTCCTCATTTTGTAAAAAAACTTTTGCTTATGCGGTATCCTACTATCCTACTATATATAAAAAAGTTGTGTCTGTGTGTGTGTGCCACTTTGCATCCATTTCCGTATCGTTGTTCCAGTCGTATCTCTATAGGGGAAGAAGTTAGGGGTGAGTACGATACGTCATAATGTGCGTAATGGTCTAGGGATGACTGCCCACATATCAGATTTATAAAAATCAGCCATTTTCGATATTAGATTTAAGTTTTTGTAAAACCCTCTTCGCTAGGAAAAATTAACATTGACCGGAAGTGGGGAGTCGCCTACATAAAGGGTCACAAGCGAATCATTTTCATTTTTTTGTCATCTGAAGTAAGCGCAATTATGCAAAGCGTAGCACAGCATGTGGTCTAAGACGGGCCGAGGGTTGAAAAGTCGCGAAGCGGCTTTTCAGCCCTGGTATGCCGGTTAATTTGATGGTTTTGGGTGGCTATGGTTTTGATGGTTTTGATGGTTTTGGGTGATTTCCAGCCAAAACGCAGACAACCAAAACGCAGAATGCTAAAACGCAGACAGCCAAAACGCAGACAGCAAAAACGCAGACACTGAATATGCTGGCACCGAATATGCTGACACCACTGAATATGCAAACAGCCAAAACCATCTCATAACTTAACACTTTATTCTTCCCATCCGAAATACAACTGCTGGTACAAGCACGGGAGAAGATCATTTTTGGGATGGATGAGGATTGGAGATTTTGGGATGATGCGAAGGTATGCGAAAGTTGTCATCGCTGTCGAATTAGGTGTATCAGGTGTCTGCATATTCGGTGGCTGCATATTCAGTGTCTGCGTTTTTGCTGTCTGCGTTTTGGCTGTCTGCGTTTTGGCTGTCTGCGTTTTGGCTGTCTGTGTTTTGTCCTGTCTGCGTTTTGGCTGTCTGCGTTTTGGCTGTCTGCGTTTTAGCATTCTGCGTTTTGGGTGTCTGCATTTTGGACTTTTCCCGTTTTCATTGGTTCGACTTTCATTGATTTCATTGGTCCCCGTCTTCCAACATGTGTCGCGGACGCCTACTGGCTTAGTAGACGATGTCTGGAGAGGGTAACGCAGTTTCCGATCCACACACGATTTTAATTTGTTTTTCCGTCCGAATGTTCGTCTTTGCATTCGGATGACCGCAAATGACTTTTTGTTAATTAGCTCACTAATTTTACGGTAAACATCGTTCTCGCTTTATTGGAATCTGAATGTTAGGAGCTTTATTAACTCATGGGCGTCAAACATCGCAGAATTTTATGATATTTCTGTTCCGGCACCTTCCCGGAGATGAAAATACACGCCAATTTTTTCAGTTTTTTCATTTTTGTTAAGAATGAAGCGGGGATATAGATCACGGATGCCCATTTTCTGGCTCCTGAAACGATACCGAGGTAAATACTGCCAGATAGTTCGGCAGGAACGAATGATAGTCCGCCTTCTGCATATGCTGAACGAACACAAAACTGCGGTACCGTAGACTGCGACCCACCTCCTTGAATTCCGAAAAAATGGCACGCAGCAAGCCGATCTCGATTTTTTCGGCCGTTTTTATGATGTATTTTTCATCATTGGAGAAATAAATCACGGAAGAACTATTGCCACGGATCAGATGATTGTGCCATGGCTGACCGGTTAGGCTTTGCTGAAAAATGTTCAAGTTTGTTTTAGGGGTGTCCAGCATCAAACGGATGCTTTCAAACTACTTGTGCAACATACTTTAAAGCCCTCCTCGTCGATCTCGTTTTTTTCACGTGCATTTCGGAACCACTGTGGATCAAGAATTTTGATAAATTGTCCTTGGCCATAGCTGGAAATCAATGGCTGGTTGGTTTTGAGAGCAGCATACAGGGTGGGTCGAAAAACTCCCTACCTTGCGACTTCATAACTATTGATAGAGAAATAATTGACCGTGCGTTACCATGCCAGAATGCTTAAATATGTCTGGAACGTCGATTTAGACCGACTTGAATTTTTCGATTTTCGGCAACGTAACAATACAAATGACCCCCGAATGATGTGTCCGGAAAAGTGTGCTGTGCAGTTTTCAAGGGTTCTAGTGGTCGGATCGTTCTGATTTTTGGAGGGTAATTATCAGGTCGGATAATAAGTTCTGTCACAATTTTTTAGAGTCGCTTGTTAAAGCTGCAGACGTGCCCAAATTAATAGTGTGATATATGGTTTGATAGGTCTCCTCGCGTTCTACCTTGGGTAGACCCTCCTAGCGCCCAAAAATTGGGAGGCGCCGAGATAGAGCTTCGAGAAGCTTTCCGCAAAATCGTACCAAAGCTATTTTGCAAACTATCTTTTCATAGAGCAATTTGCATGCGATACCTTTAATTTCAATCGATGGTACACATAGGATAACGGGGGGGGGGGGCACTCAAACTTTTTATATGATAAAAGTATTTTTAAATATGCTTTTTTCGGGCTGTAAAAAACTCTTAGTATATTTTTCGGTCCTCCATCGAATGGCATTTTCAAAATATCGAAAATATTCAAAACGCCGAAAATCCCCCCCGTGATCCTATGTGCTGCCCATAGTTTTCAAAAATAGTTTTTAGGCTATAAAACTTTTATAATATATTTTTTTCGCGTTGTAACAAAATCTTTTAGTATATTTTTTGATGTTCTATCGATTTGCGTTTTCAAAATATCGAAAATCTCGAAAATCTAGCTTCCCCCCCCGTTATCTTATGTGCTGCCCATAGATTTTGATCAATTTTTGTTTATTCGATAAAAAATTTCATTTACATTATTTCAGGTTGAAATTAATTCTCCTGGGGCAGTTTATTTATTTTATCCCCCCCCCGTTATCGTATGTGTACCTCAATCGATAGCTTTCGAGGAGTAGATATCGATGGACGTTGAGATCGTCAAAATCGGACTTCAGATGGCCGAGATATCGGCCTGTGAAATTTGGCCCGTTTCTTAGAACTTTTCCCAAAGTCCTATACATTTGGTCAAGATGCGCTCGGTTCTTTTGAAAATCAAGCGGTCAGTTTTGGCTGCGGGCTATCAAATGTATGGGAAAAGGGAAGCCAATCCCGCCACTGAAAGCAGCCAAAACTGACCGCTTGATTTTCAAAAGAACCGAGCGCATCTTCGAAATGTATGGGACTTTGGGAAAAGTTCTAAGATTCTGCCCAAATTTCACATGGCATTAAAATTGCGAAATTTTCAGATTGTTAAACATTTAAAAAACACCAGGGTTGAAAAACAGCTTCGCGACTTTTCAACCCTGGCCCCGTCTGATCCCATGATATTCTTCACTTTGCATAATTCTCGCGATTTTCGATGACAAAAAAAATGGAAAACGCCAGCTCTCTTCTCTTATATAAGCTACCGCAACTTCCGGCGTATGCTAATTGTTTCCTAACAAAGAGGGTGTTCGATTTTTCAACAAAAAGGTTAATTTTGACGTCGAAAACAGCGAATTTTTGAAAATTTTATGAGTGTGCAGTCATCCCAAGGCCATTACGCACCTAATGAGGTATAAAAGACACCTAACTATACACCTAACTACCCCCCTTATCGAGATACTCCTGGGACTAACTAACTGGAGATACGGAAGTTGCATGCAAATGCACACACATACATACATACATCCACACACACACACATACAGGAACTATTTTTTATATATAGTAGGATAAAATATTTTCCTCGAAGAGCTCTATCGATTGGCATTATCAAAAATAAAATTTGAGGCCATCCTGGGAGATACCACGGTTTATCACTTTTTGCGTTTTTTGCCAAAAACTTCTTTCGCGTCTAGCGCCTTCCGCTTCGATTTTGGGAGGTTGTGATGTATTAGCCGGAAAAAATTCACGAAAAAACCTATCGATCCATGTATTTCACGTCCCTGTAGCTCATACTAGCGCCGAGAACCAGCCTGTCAAAATCTCGGCGACAGGACTTACCTTCCAACCTGATAATAAGTTAAACGGGATCTTCATCCAAAAAACGATGTCTTCTGGTTGGTAGTATTAAATCCGGAATCAGCATGTAATTTCAGAACTATTAATCTGTCAACCAAATATCATTTTCCAGCTAGGGAGTGACCGGGGCACTCAAGATAGGATTATCGCATCTGGGAACGGCGAGACTCAGCCCAGATACGATATGTTGAAACATTTGCATATGGGAATAAGCAGAAAATCAGTCATTCCCGTGATAATACTTGCTCCGTACGGTCGGTTTGCATCAAAAGCATAAGTTTAGGCGTTTCCGAGGCAAATTCTTTCGCTTTGCATCCACTTCCGTAAAGGAGCAAATTAAGGGTATGTTTGATACGTCATAAGATTTGTGATGGTCCCGATTCGGCTGCACACATGACGTATTTTCCAAAAACCTGTTCACATTTTCAAGGTTAAACTTAGGTTTTTCTAAAAGTCTGGGCCCTCCTCTTTGTTAGGAATTAATTAACCTACACAGGAATTGGCGGTGGCTTATGAAAAGGAAGCGAGGGCGCGCTTTTCACTTTTTTTCATGCTAGAATTCGGGAAGAAACATGGAAATTGAAGACGTTCACAGGTCCTAGAAGGGGCCAGGGTTGAAAAGCCGCGAAGCGGTTTTTTAACCCTGGTTGTATCTGAATAAAAGCATCTCTAGTTTGAAAATCCCCGATGAGGTTTTTCAACCCTGGTCCGTGACCTAAAACGGCGTCTTTCGTCGTGATCGGGACCGAGGGCTGCTTGTATGCCGACAAGTAGAGCACTCATATCCTTGTTTATCCGCTTCTGAACAAAAATAGGTTTTTGGTACATGTCATTGAGAATCACCCGATTCTTTTCCCTGTCTTCGGTTCTCTTCTTCTTGTCCTTATTACGTGACGAGCGGCTGCTGCTCGAATCGCCCGAGGATCGGCCACGAGTTGACGAGCTTTCTAAAGGGAATTCAGCCGTAAAAGTCTAGCAAATACCCGACGTGTGTGCGGTTTCGTCCGCGGGTTTGGAGCTGGAGCCGGGAGTTGGGAGGCGGCTTCGGCGTGGATCTCCTTTTTGAAACCCGACGGACTTTTTCTCAACCCAAGCATTTGCTGCTTCAAATAAACAAACCGGCCCATTTTCGTGGGAAGACCCCATGGAACCACTGCGTCCAGGCTGCGCAGCGCATGGCGTAGCCTTGCCGTTGGTCGAGCCGCCGTAGAAGCTGCTGCTTGGCGTAGCGGTTCCTAGTTTAATTTTCCAGAAGACCGGTTGATAGCTACGCTTACTATTCTTGGATGCCTTGATCTCCGCGTAGAGGATGAAAAGCACACCAAGAGACGTCACCTAGTTTAGTGTGCTCTTCCTTAATATCTACAAGAAGTCCTACCATAAAAAAACAGGTTCGGCCAGAAAAACAAAGCAGTTCTTTGATTGTCGGAACCGACTCGGTTTCCTTGTTTTGGGCCGCTTCGACGGCAACGTAGGTAAACAAGATGGCCATGTAACCGATGTGAACGCCGATGGCGCGGGCGCAGAGCTCTAGGAATTTCATCTGGGACAACAGGTACTATTACGCTTGGTGGAGTAGACGGCGGTCATCACGGAAAACACAATGACTGTGACGTGCAGAATGATCATCATCTGAGAATTTTTCCATCTTTTGATCCCTGGTGCCATACCGATGCGGGAACCAATGAAAGATGACTCTTCGGTAAGTTGACCAGCTGAGAGCCGACGCAGACCACTTGAGCTACGCATAGCAGCCAGATGGCGATGAGGTAAGCGCCAATCCTTCTCGACTTGCTTGGCTTAGACTGAAAGGAGTTCTACCACTTCATTTACCAATGATACCGTGGGCCGTCGGGCCTCCTTCGAGCTGTTCCGACGCAGGCGAGGCGAGCGCGGCATAGCTTGGGACTCTACCGACCGATGAAAGGATCCGGGGAGAGGCTTGCTATTTTATACCGTCCAGGTTATTCTAATGTGGACCCGCGTAATGTTAAATATCAATGATAATTGGGAAGTAAAAGAATTAAAGTTACCGGCAAGGCATGACCTTGGATGTTCTCCGATTTTCTGTCGACCCGCAACGCGCCGCAACCCGCCATTCTATTGCTTAATGAATGCAGATCAGTGTATGGACGTCAGGCCGCGCGCGTGCCTGGCGCGGCTGAAGCCAAATCCATAGGAAACTTTTCAAAAAAGGGCTTTTGGTTTTCGCAAAAAGAGATCAATTCTCGTGGCAACAAAAAGTGCTAAATTCCTTTAAAACTCTGAAAAATGCCACAAAATGGGGCACAACAAAAAGCTGCTGGCTAATTAAAATCTTAATAAGCTTGGGACTGCCTTAGATTACAGGTCAGGTCCACAGATTAATTTCAAGAAAATGGATCATAATACCGAGTCTTTCGCCCTCCTTTCCGCAACCTGACTTTACACGGTTGCACTTTCTAAACAAATGCTTTAGAAAAACCCGGTGTAATCGTGTAACCGTATTCCCGGTGTAATCGATCCCGTAGAAGCTGGATCCGCTATTGAAATACGCCAAAAACCGCTTTCAAAAGCCCGTTGAAGTCTAACTGCCCGATTTCCGAAAGTGGTATCTAGACACCCCATAAAGTCCGGAAAACACTCATTACGGCCAATTTGACATCGGAGAACACAAATATCACAATACCGCACCTCGAAAACCCCACACACAAAAAAGTTAGTTTTAGGCCGTGTTTTCGGTAAAAAGTAAATCGCGATTTTCGCCCCAAAAACCAAATTTCCGTGCTTTCGGAGGATCAAATTCGGAATTAACATGCAATTTTACATCTAGTAAGTTGTCAATTAAATATTTTTCAGCAAGGGATTTTCTGGAACTCGACCGAGAAAAGTCGAAAAATGGGGGGAGATTCACTTTTGTCCGTTACTGTATCCTACTATATCCTACTACAGTGTGTGCCATAAAGATGCCTAGGAGTATCCGTTTACCCGCGTTTTGCAGCTTGTGGCAGTCCTTTGCCTCTCGGACTATTCGGTGCTGGCATGCATCGAGAATGTGGCGGATGAGTACAACCCGGTCCTGGCATGTAAATTTCCGGCTTTAATCGCGGTCCCCATCCACACACGATTATTTTTTTTGGCCGTTTACAGAATAGGATTCCCCTCTCAGGCGCGAGATCCACGCCAATCGGAACCACCGTGGCCGGGCAGAGAGTGGCCATCAAGCTTTGCGTGATCGATCTGCTTCGGGCCCTCGTAGGCGCCAACAGTAGTGCCGTAGGCTTTTTTTTTAGGACAAGCCCGTGGCCCTGGAATATCGGGACACTTTTCTGACTGGTCTCGGCACTTTCATCTTCCCTGGAGTCGAAGCGAAGTTCACGCGCCTTCAACGGGAGGGGCCTCCCTCTCTCTCTCTCTCTCTCTCTCTCCCGCCAACCTTATTCCAAGTCGGAAATTCAGATGCTGGTCCTTGACGTGGTGGTGGCGGCCGAAGGGGCGGCAGAAGGGGCGGCAGAAGGGGCGGCAGAAGGGGCGGCAGAAGGGGCGGCGGAAGGGGCGGCGGAAGGGGCGGCGGCGGTCGCGGTGGAGGCGGTGGTCAGAAGACGGACGGTCGCAGCAGTAAGAAGTCCCCGCGAGCCGAAGCGCCAGCAGGCAACGCAGCTGTAACCGCTTCAGTGCGATGGTCCAGGGTTCGCCACTACCAATGCCCAGTGTTCGTTTTATGTCTCGTTCTTTCCGTAGCCCCGCCAATGATCTACCTTTAAAGAGCCGCTCTAAAGTTTTGCTATTATGGTCAGACCAATGGAAAATGACCGCTTCGCGGCCCTGTTCCACTGGCCCCCGTCTAGGAACCATATATTCCCCCTCAGTTTTCAAGCCTGCGGCGCAAGAGCCTGACTCGAAACCATTCTCTGGCCTGCGGCGCTAGCTACTGGCTTTTCTCCAGCATTTGGCCTGCTGCGCTAGAGCCCGGGGCCAAGGACCTTTTGGTTAGCCTCGGGCGCTAGAGCGAGGGACTGGCCTAAATTTCGGATACCGAGAGCCTCGAAATATGTTTTGTTGTTGAACTATCAGAAAGCAAAAAGGTAAATTTGCCGAGGATCCGAACCCTCGACTATGAGTGTGGTGGACCGGGCGTCAAGTCACAATACCAAAGGAGGCATCGGGACGGGCGGCGGGAAAGTCAACTTCTGTCCTAGGGGCCGGGTTCAACCCGGGAGGGAGGACTTCTAGTAATTTCGCAAATACGCTTTTTTTAGTTTAAATGCGCCGAAAATTGGTAAAAATAATAGGATACGCGTGATCCCCAATATCGAATACATAAGTGGTCCAAATTTCAGCCCGAAATTCCATCAGGGCTTCGAGTTATGGCCCGAACACCACGGCTCGTAGCCCATTTTGTTAAGGATTTTCACCATTTTGCTTGTAAAATTGTTAAATGAAGGAATTTCGCAAAACAAAAAAAAATGCCTGTCTGGCAAATGCGTTTCTCCTCCTTCATGCCAAAAATCAGCGCGAAATTCGGCCTAACGGCCGAGAAATCGGCTGCACAGAAAACACACATACTTTTCTCGCTTATAGGATAGGATATGCCGTTCTGGTGGGAGGTACGGGACTCAACGGCAGGACGAAGGCCGGCAAGCAGGTCTTGATCAAGATGTGTGTCTTCGACGTGTTCCAGAGCGTCGTAGGCGTGATTCGTGGCGCCGCAGATACATTTTTAGGCAAAGCCGAAGGGGGCGTCGTACAAGACCGAGTTCCTCGAAGGAATCGACAAGATGATCTTCCCTGGGCTCGTAGTCAAGAAGAAGAAGAAGCCGAGCATGAAGGCGAAAGGTAGAATACTGCGATTCCAATCCAGCTCGTTCGCTCTCTCTCACTCTCACTCTCTCTCACACTCTATCGCTCTCTAGCTCTCTGTCTCTCTCTCGGTCTCTCTTCCGCGCTCTCTCTCTGACTCTCGTTCGCTCTCTCTCTCTCTCTCTCTCTCTCTCTCTCTCTCTCTCTCTCTCGCTCTCTCTCTCTCTCTCCGTCGGCAGACTTGAAGGTTTTATGATCAGAAAACCAAATAATACCAGCCAATATTTCGTTGCAAGGAAAACTTATCTTGTAGTGCGTGCTGGACTGCTTTCTGAAGGACTACTCACCGCTAATGTGCATCGAGGAACTGCCTGATCCCTACGACCCCATCACGGTATGTAAACAAGTGTTGAATTTGAAGCATTATCGTTGTACCTGTGTAATTTTCCATTTCAATTTTTTTTCAGGCAGGGGATTCTCGGCTTTTCGGCAGCACACAGGCGGGCAAGAAGTTGGCGATCAAGCTGTGCGTCGTCGATCTGCTGCAGAGAGTCGTAGGCGCCACATACCAGCGTCGTAGATGTTTTTTTACTTGCACCCGGTGGCCGTGCAGTACTACAACACTTTCCTTGGCCACATCAAGCTGGTCGTGTTCCCCGATCTCACGGACCGGCTCAAGAAGCTCACCATCAAGGGCCACGGTAGATGCAATTTTCTTCTCTCTCTTTCTTTCTCACTCTATTTCTCATCTCGCTCTCTCATCTCTCTTTTGCTCTCTCCCTCTCTCTCTTTCCCTCTCTTTCTCGTCTCGCTCTCTCAGCTCTCTCTTCCTCTCTCTCTTGCTCTCTCTCTCTCTCTCTCTCTCTCTCTCTCTCTCTTTCTCTCTCTCTCGCTCTCTCTCTCAATCACGGAGGCATTCTAACCCTTTTGTTCGGTTTTGAATTTCGTTTGAGGAGCCTATCTGGTAAAGAATTTTGCCTGATTGACTGACTGGCAGCCGTTTCTAAATTAATTCGTAAAGACTCAGGTTTTTATTTTTCAAAATCGACTAGAAGGCCATCATATAAATATTTGGCTTCAAAACTCACAATTTTAATCCAAAGAGGCTTTAAAACTCAAATAACTTTTTACAAGGGTGATTTTACATTAAAGCTTCACATTTATTTGGAACTCTCGATCGATAGCTGAATTTTACATAGCGGTTAGCGATACGCTTCAAAAATACTTGCCGTCAGTTCATCGTTTCAACCGCCAACGTTCTTCCATTTCGGAAATTCAGATGCTGGTTCTTCGGGACGTCACGGTGGCGGAGGCGGAGGCGGAGGCGGAGGCGGAGGCGGTGGCAAGGGCGGCGAGAAGACGGGCGGATGGAGCGGCAAGGAGCAACACCCGAAGCGCCAGCAGACCACCAGGCTCTAGGCGCTTCAGGATGCCGGCCACACGAACCAGCCGACCTCATCTAGGGCCCCTCTCCCCTTCCATTCCCAAATGATCTCTGCTAGCCTGCCCCTTCCATTCCCAAATGATCTCTGCTAGCCTGCCCCTTCCATTCCCAAATGATCCCTGCTAGCCTGCCCCTTCCATTCCCAAATGATCTCTGCTAGCCTGCCCCTTCCATTCCCAAATGATCTCTGCTAGCCTGCCCATTCCATTCCCAAATGATCCCTGCTAGCCTGCCCCTTCCATTCCCAAATGATCCCTGCTAGCCTGCCCCTTCCATTCCCAAATGATCTCTGCTAGCCTGCCCCTTCCATTCCCAAATGATCTCTGCTAGCCTGCCCCTTCCATTCCCAAATGATCCCTGCTAGCCTGCCCCTTCCATTCCCAAATGATCTCTGCTAGCCTGCCCCTTCCATTCCCAAATGATCTCTGCTAGCCTGCCCCTTCCATTCCCAAATGATCTCTGCTAGCCTGCCCCTTCCATTCCCAAATGATCCCTGCTAGCCTGCCCCTTCCATTCCCAAATGATCTCTGCTAGCCTGCCCATTCCATTCCCAAATGATCTCTGATAGCCTGCTTCATGTGACATCCCCTTGTGGCCCATCTCACTAGTATTTTAAGGCACAGTCAATGTATTGGTATTAGCACTTAATCTTTATTCAAGTTAACCAGATTTTCTTACTCACGTGTTGATATCTTTTTCTTTTTTTTTGTGTCGTTCTCTTTTTATGTTCAGCCACTCTCTCTGTTTCCCCGCGAACCACCTGTGATCTTTTTCTTGTGTGTGCCTGACCTTAATAAATGGGAAAATGTTTTCTCTCACCATGCATCCATAAAATATTTATCAAAATTGCCTCTAATAAATTTAAAACTGCATACTGAGCTCTTGCAATGGAAAAACAATCACCCTACTAAGAAAAAAAATCACAACTCACTATCCGGTAGAGGGCAAATGTTAAGTTGTAGCCAGCAAAAAATGGGTCGCTTTATGCACGAGAACACGGCATAGCGAAATTCGGTATAGCGAAATTCGGCATAGTGAAAATTCGGCATAGTGAAAATTCGGCATAGTGAAATTCGGCATAGCGAAAATTCGGCATACCAATAATCGGCATACTGTAAATCGGCACAGCGAAAATCGGCACAGCAAGTATTTACCCCCATGGCCATCGCCTAGCTCCGGATCCAATCCGCAAAACAAGTGCTCCGGGCGGGGGTCGAACCCGCATCCTATGGCTTTCGAGTCCGATGCTCTCCCTATTGAGCTACCGGGGCACGCGGAATGCCTCTCTCGGGGCAGCAATCCATGCCAGCCCCTCACATCCAACTTGAAGAAATGGAATGACAGCCGCGTCGCGTGTTGTCATGCGGCAAAATGTAAGCAATATACCCCGCGACGCTCACTACCCGCGACACGGGTCGCGCGCTTAGCCTGGACGTCGTGCAATACATTGCGAGATCGAACGGCGAGCGTGCGCATTGCGTATCGCAGGGCAGAACAGCAGTGTAGCGCCGACTTGTGTGGCCCAGTGACACTGCCTCGTCGTCGTTGGGCCATTCTACCCCTCCCAGCCTCGCCAAGTCCCAATTTGCATGCGGTTCCCCCAAATCCGGATGCTGATCACAAACACCCTATATTCCGCTCATTACCATCCGGATATGCATACGTTTTCGAGTATATAAGCGGCCGATTCTCACTGTGAGATATCGATCTTGATGTATCGCCGTGCCCCCGACGTGCCGACGACTTGCTCCCGACGCGCCCTGACGTGCCGACGACGTGCCGCTGCTCCCGACCGCTGCTCCCGGCTGCTACTCCCGGCTCCTGCTCCCGGCCCACTGCCTTGTCGTATCCGTTGTTTGTAGCGTGGTGGCCTCGATCCTCTTCTGCGTCGTTTCTTGTTCTTGATCACGTGTCGCCGTTTTCCGTAGACCCGGAATATGCCCGTGCCGCTAAATAGCATGCACTTTCCCGCTTACCGGGTTTGCCATTGAACATGAGGAAATTGTCGGGTCATTGGGACGGTATTTGGCCGACGCTACCTTATATAATTTTTGCGTGGCTGGAAGGTTTGTGTGTCGGTGTGCAACTGTCACTTTCGAAGCCCGAGTTCAGGGCTTCCCGTGTATAAAATGCCCTAATTCTTCGTGACTTTTGGGATCAATCTTCCTCTTTCCGATCCCTTTTCAGAATTTCGATAACATATAAGTTTACAAAGTGAAATCCGGTTTTATGCATTTTTGGGGTCCGCCAAGGCTAATTTGCACAATGTAAAAAATATAAATTACGGATTATCGCCATTTGCACGAAGGACCCGAGCCACCGGAAAATCAACTTTCTGATGCAAAGGTCGGACTCCAGCTAGTATCATATAGGTTTCCGTATTGAACCGAAGCTAGCCTTCGCTGAGTTAAAAAAACGGGATTTCCTCAGCTCCCCGGTTTTTCTTTCGGCTTCGGTTACTGCAGTGTGCCTTATCCTACTATATATAAAAAAAACCAGGGTGGAAAAGCCGCTTCGCGACTTTTCAACCCTGGCCCCATCTGACCCCATTTTATCCTTCACTTCTCATAATTGTCCTGAATTCAGAAGAGCAAAATAAAAACAACCTCTTCTGTCCATTGATACAGTCGACTCCCCACTTCCGGTCTATGCTAATTATTCCTAACAAAGAAGTTTTCACAAAAACTTAAATTTAATGTTGAAAACCGCTGATTTTGTAAAATTTTATATGTGTGCAGTCATCTCCAGACCAATGCGCACCTAATGACGTATCATACGTACTTTAAAATTCATCCCCTAGCGAGATATCCTCCGGACAGACAGACGGAAGTGGATGCAAAGTGGCACACACGGATATCCCTCTCTCTCTCTCTCTCTCTCTCTCTCTCTCTCTCTCTCTCTCTCACCGCTTCTTTGTCCTACAAACAGGGCGTTCGGGAAGTTCTAGCAAGATGCTCTGGGGCATAAAATCTCACATAGACCTCGGATATTAGGAAGGTTTTGCATGTTATTTGTAATGAGGCATCAACCCTGCGCTCAAAAACTAACCTTGAGAAAACTGGCTTCTGAATTTAGAAAAGGCTAAACTTGCCTCGGCAAAGGCAGGCAGCTCGCCACCACCAAGCTTTCCCCAACCTTTTTTGAAGAAAATCACAGTCTCCGGTGGAACAAATCATGGGTGTTGGGGAGAGTAGACCTCAGATTCATTCGGTCAGACATTAATGTCCGGTTACTTGGACGGCGGGATTTTTGAGCGTTTGAACGGCCGGGCGGATGAATCTACCCCTAATAAGAAAGCTTTTAAATACTGTAAGAATTTTTGTTTAAATAATAATAAGACTATCAGCCCACCCGCACTGTACTAAGGCCAGGCCCCTCGATACACTGGACAAGGTACGTTACGCATACGGACGCGACGTCAGGATAACTTGCAAATTAGGATGCAAGGTACAAAATAGGCTCGATAAAACGATTTTTTTGCACTTTGCATCCCGACTTTCGTATCCCGACGTCGCGTCGGTATGCGTAACATCTCCACTTTTGATGTCTATGGTGTCGCGTGCGATTTCTATAACCCGGTCCCCAGCCCGAACGCACCAAAATTGACTACAGGATGTTCGGAAAGTTCTGGTTTTGTCTAATATTTGTAAAACAACCCTTGAAAGGGGGGTTTGATGACTTTGTCCAAAAATTCGGCGATCAGAAGTTGCAGTTTTTGTACCTAATTAAGGTAAGGTCTACTCTCCCCAACACCCTTGATTTGTTCCACCGGAGACTGTGATTTTCTTGAAAAGTTTGGGGAAAGCTTGGTGGTGGCGAGCTGCCTGCCGCAGTCCTTTGCCGAGGCAAGTTTAGCCTTTTCTAAACCAAGAAGCCAGTTTTCCCAAGGTTAGTTTTTGAGCGCAGGGTTGATGCCTCATTACGAATAACATGCAAAACTTTCCTAATATCCGAGATTTATGCGAGATCTTATGCCCAAGAGCATCTTGCCAGAACTTCCCGAACGTCCCGTTTGTAGGAAAAAGAAGGGGAGAGAGCGAGAGAGAGAGATAGAGAGAGAGAGAGAGAGAGGGAGAGAGAGAGAGAGAGAAAAAGGGAGACAGAGGGAGAGAGAGAGAAAGAGGAAGACAGAGGGAGAGAGAAAGAGGAAGACAGAGGGAGAGAGAGAGGGGGGGATATCCGCGTGGTTTTCCGACAATTACTGCGTCTAGCCGTACAGATGCTCAAGTTGGAACGAAGTTCCCGTCGAAATAACGAGACATTAATGTTGAATCGAAAATCGATAGGTATATTTGTGACGTCGGAGCGATCTGTGATAGTATCTATTAGACGCTCCCTGGATCTTTCCGATTCTCCACCTGTATTTTAGCAAGCAAGAATCCGTAATGCCAGCTTCACGAATCAATTTTCGTGAATTGCGGAGCGAGATGCAGCAATCCGTCCTTCGTCACCTCGATTTCCTTGTGAAGGTGCACCTCCGATGCATCAGTGTGGTAGGCATCTTCAGGCCCGGAGTGATTCCAAAACCGATCTCGATTTAAAGCACCGAAAATGCCACACGCTACCTTTAGGTGTTCTTGAGATGGCCGCCTTGCCAGTTTTACCTCGGCGGTCGTCTGACGCATATCTCATTCCACTGCCACGAAAAGGTGGGTTTGTGGAAAATATTTTGCACCGGTACCCTGCAGATGTGCCCCAAAGGTTAGGGTGCAGTGTCCCCCCCCCCCCCCCCCCCCGGCCGGCACCCAACGTTTGTATCTCGGCTCGTTCATCTACTGGCGTGTAAAGTATACCAAAATGTTCGTCTTGCCCTGGCGAGTATTTTGGTATACTCTACACATCTGTAGATGAACAGGGAGGTGGTTGCCGGCTGGGGGGTAAACTGCACCTAAGCCGCCCCAAAAATCCCCCTTCTGGCGGTCCGGAGGAGTGTCGGATCAGGATGCTATTCACACCCTTCGCAAGCTCTCGGAAAGGCGAGAACAGGCGCTTTTCGTTTTATATAAAATTTATGCATGCGCTGGATACTAAACGCTTTGTTAAAACAGTAAGTTATTTCGCGAGATTTCGCCAACGGAATCCGGCATTTCCCTAAATTTACACGACTTACCATGACTTTGGCGCATTTGTTCTAAACTTTTCCGCGTTTTTAGTGGCTTTGCCAAAGAAAATACGACTAAACTGCCATACTTCCGATAGTTTTATGGATATTCCGAGGCGATTTTCTTGACTGGAAAAAATTCAGACCCCTGTCCCTAGATTTCTTTGTGAAATATGAACAGTATCGCTGGCTTTTGCATAAAATGTAGCACGATTAAAAATTTCCTCACCATCAGGTCAGGCTCAGTGCAAGGGTATAGTGTTAACAATAAGGCAAATTCCAGGTCGGATATTCGCCCGATCCCTATGGCGCCTGCGTCTACTTTCGGAGGAAAATCATCGATGGTTGGTTGATTGGCTGCGATCCTAATAACGTTTCTGCGCCGTTAAAGGAAAATGGTTCGACTGGGTGAAGCTACTGATGCAGTACGATAAGCACAAGAATCCGCTGCGCGGGTTGCTCATCACCAACACTCATTGGTTAGTTTTACTGGGTAGCACAAAGCCTTTTGGCCTTTTAGCGTACCCCCCAGCCGCCTTTTGGCTTTCATTATTTTGAGCTGTGGTTCAAACTCTGAGTCTATTTTTCGACGCGCTAACAATGGAACTGTGAAAACCCCAGAGAAATAGCGAAAATATCAAAAATTTAGAGAGCCTCGGCTGCGGGCAGGGGAGGGGGTAGAATACACTGTAGCCCTTGCACCATTTAGTCTGCTTTTATCCTGTCGAGTTAAAATTTTGACCATGGATGCGGGCTCATAAAACGTGTGCGTTCGAGAATTTTTCAGGGAAAATATTGCCAGATGAGAATGTTGAGAATGTTTAAACTACGGGGTGTCCCAAAAAAAGTACCCCCTCTATGCGTTTTTGTGTTTTTCAATTTTCTGGCTTCCAGGTGTTCTTGTGGTATTTTATCGCAATTAGCATGAAGATTTTTGCTAATTGCAAGGAGCTGTTAGGCCGACCCGAGAAATACTGGCCTTTCTGGCTTTTGCAGGTGTGATCATGTCTTGAGCTGGACGGAGTGCCAAAGAGACTGTGCGGACGCTACTGACTGCCTTTGCATCAAGAACCGAGAAGCGCAGCTACATGTCAAGAAATGCCCGTGTTGTGGCAGTCCGTGAGTTTCTCCGTCCTTGCTAGGCAATAATCTTATTGCAGGAGAACCAATCCCTACATGAGATACCTAATTGAGGGACTGGACTTCGAATCGCAAGTGTCTTTGCTGCACCGATTGAGCGCCGTCCTCCCAACCGGGCCCGTCCGTATTCAGCCGGGTCAATGGTCTAACCAAAAAGTGCGCGGAAACCAAATCTTACCAAGGCGCAAAAATAATAGGCATAGAGAGAGATAGAGAGAGAGAGGAGAGAGAGAGGGAGAGAGAGGGGGAGAGAGGGAGAGAGAGAAAGAGAGAAAGAGAGAGCGCGTAAGAACCTGAGGGATGAGAAGCGAACCTCACGGCATTGGTGAAATCGCTCCTCGGTAAAAACACTTTAGCTAAGTTACAAGTTACATTTGGGAAAATGGTCAGGCAACTTCTTTGGCTATACGTTTTATTCATTTCGGGGCTAACGAGTTTTCAGTGGCCCACCCTCTATGGCCGCTTGCTGGCCAACCTACACAGAGACTATTTTTTTGCGGCCGGACGCTGGATGTGGGTAACATATTTGACGTTAGCGGCTAACTTTCCGTCCGTTTGACGTTCCAAAATTCGCTTTTTGTCATGTTCTTTTCCCGCGCCCCCGGCCGCACACAGCTCACCGTACCCTATTTTTGACCGGGGCGGTCGGCCCTATTCGCCGCGAGCGGTCTGACCCCTTTAAAGAGACGGGCAAGGCAGGAATATGAACGCTTTCGGCGCTCTTTAACGCTGTTTTTAAGATTATTTTTAGTACCACAGCAGTGTGGTTTAAGGACGAAATCATAAAAGTGTCGAGGGGGGGGAGGGAGGGCGAGCCAAAAATTTTTGGAAGTTGCCTTCCCCTGGCCAAAAATCGGCGTCCGCTCTACGCGCCTGGTCCTTCGGTCTTGCTAATGCAATCCAGTTTTAGCCCAGGCACATACAAACACCACGACATCATTGGGGAGCTGTCGCCGCTTGTATCTTGTAGGCCCACATGGGTAAGTACGGATTGCAATCACCCGCAGAGGCATTAATGCGGTGCAACACGGTCCCGCATTGTTGGGCTCGACCCCATTCGCCATGCAACATGTCGACAACCCCATGTCAAGCCACCACGGCAACTCAAGCAATGGTTGGGCCGCAACGAAAAATGGGGAATTTGCACGGAGAATGGGGCTACGCGACGCTCCAATCCACCCCGATTTGAACCAAACTCTAGTCTGAAACCTTGGTCCAATTAAGTTTTGAAGTCAGTTTTCTTCCTATTTAGTCACATTCGAAAGAACGCATTTCCTTCTAGAACTCTGGAAATCCACTTTTTTGAAGTTATAATCTAAATCAAAAGTTATAAGCCAGCAAAGAGCCCGGAATCACATGTCGTAATTGCGGCCCCTGAGATGCCGTGCCACACAAATATAGATAAATAAAATATAGTGTATTCTTACCGCAATATTAGCAGTTTTAAATTGCTGGAAAGTTATAAAAACGTTTTTTAAGCTTTCGAAGGTATGAGAATTTTTACCTTCTTGGTCATTTTTCATAGATTGTTGGCCAAACAGTTTCCCCGGGCTAGAAGTCGCCCCCTGCCGCGAAACGGGCAGTAGCCAAATTTCAATTAAAATTGGGACTCCACGATGTTGGGGCATAAATTTTTACTACACTCCCACTAATTTTTACATTTATTGCCGAGCAGCTGTCGATACCTAGTGTATTCAAGCGGTGAATTCTGACGCTTTTCGCGACTGTTACATTGCCGATGTCGAAATATCGAAAGATGTTTAGGTTTCGCGGGGGGGTGGGGGAGGGGAACCAACTTATTACGGCGCAAGCCTCGATCTTCTTGAAAATAGCGGACGCGTTTTTATATTGCTTTGGACGATTTATGAGCATAAAAACCGTATAAATTTTTTTAAAAAATCTAACTTTAGGTCGGAATATTCACTTATTCGACCCAAAATGAGCAAATGTTCGGCTTTTTCAAATAATTTTCTAACTTTTTTTAAAAGTTTTTCCGAACCTGGACCGCCAGGGAAAAACTGAACTTCAATCCAAAAGAACTCATTTTTGCAATCTTTCTAGGCTTGGTACACGCTCAATATGCGAGATTATCCACGTTCTGCAGTCTACGCTCATCTTACAGCTGTTTCGGAGCAGGTTTGTACGTGGTGCACCAAAGACTAACTAAGGCGGCATTTAGCCGCCTTACTTTCCATCGATCGGCAAATTGGACCAGAAGTGTATCGAACCCTAAAGAACAACAATCTTGACGGACCGCTCCGTAACTACAGTAGTTTTCCAGGTTACAAAAAAAAATTTATTCTCCTTTTCATAAAATTTACCCAAGCCTAAGCCTAAGCCTAAGCCTAAGCCTAAGCCTAAGCGTCAGCCCAGACCGAAAAACTGGGGAGAAAAACGCTCAAAAAAATCAGTGTTTTGGCCTTACTGTAAGGTGTTTTTACTCAGGCTAGCGTGTAGAATGGCCCTATAGTGTTGGGAATTTGCTCCGCTCGAAAACCGAGCTTTTGGCGAAACCGAGCCGCTCGGTTTTGGCTCGAAAACTGAGCCGAGCACATTTCCCAACACTGCAAGCCTATCTTGCGCAGAATTTTTTGCTGATTCCCAATCCGTTTTTCAAATCTGCTGCGGGCTGCGCGTTAAAAAGACATTTGAGCTAGAAATTTAGCTTAAAAAGCTTAGCTAAATAGCTTAAAAACGGCATAAATTCGGATGCTAACCCACTTTTCCCTGCCTGGGTCCAGGTATTGCTGTGCCCCGTATCTGCCCTCACGAAGCCCCGTGCCGACTTGACACAATGGTGAATTGGCAAGGTGTTCGCTTGCCAAGGACAGGGCGGCGGTTCGAACCCCGCCCTGCACAATTTCTTTAGCTTTTTGCACAAAAACCATGATTTATTTTGCATAAAATCGTGCTTCGACATCTAAAACCGTTACCGAGCAGTTTGAACGTTGAAGATGACGACAACCTAAAAATAACGCTAAACAATCCAGGTTTTTGGAAGTGTTTTTTAGTGTAGATGCTGAATGACGTTTTAAATAAAGGTCGGCAGCCGATTTGCAAACCAGATTCGCAATCAGCGAAAAATTCTTCACCGGGTAGACTTGGTCCCATTCCAAAACGCCAGCCTGAGTAAAAACACTTTACAGTTAGCTCAAAAACTACTGTAGCTATTGTAAGTCAGGATTAGATTTATTAGATTAGATATTTAGAGTTCGATGCGGCTCTAGTCAATTTTTCGACCGGTCGTATGCAGTGTAAGAATGCAGTACAAAATGACGCGTTGGCGGTTTTTTGGGGGGACACTCTGCTGTACAAACAAAGTACGGGTGTCATCATGTAATCGGATGTTTAAGATGGCCGCGTATCCATTTTTCGCCCTCGGCCAGCGAGGGCGCGACCCGGATAAATGGTGGCAGGCACTGACGACCATCCGAAAACTCATCAATGATTGCATATTTTCGGTAAGCTTTGTGCCGGGATGGGCCTGGCAGGTGGCTGCCAATACCCCCGTTTGGGGAAATAGTAGATTTCACAATGGAGAAATATTACCAGCATCCGCCCGCGGCCGACGTCTGTCGCGTTGGCTTGCTCTACGCCGAAATGGAGCAGCAGCCGGTAGGGTCTTTCGGTCCTAGTTCGTTAGAGCAGGGGGGGGGGGGCGCACCGCTTCCCTCTCTTTTTCCAATAGAACCGTCCCCCCCCCCCTGGGGGTGATTTCCATATCTCCTAAATACATATCTCCTTATTCCATATCTCCTAAAAGTCATATCTCCTAAAAGTCATATCTCCTAAAAGTCATTTCTTATAAAAGTCATTTCTCCTAAAAGTCATTCCTTATAACAATCATTTCTCCTAAAAACCTTACTTTAGGAGATCAGCAGATACCAGCGAAAATTTTTTGTAATTTTTTTCGGAACATATACAAAACCGCCCGCAGGCTTCGAAAAACCCGATTTTAACATTCTAAGATGGTCGGATAATAGTGAAAAACATCGGATCAAACGCTAGCTAGCTGTAAATTCAGCAAAAGTTTTGCCCCTGTGGAAAGCGAAAACATATCATATCAGATCTCAACAAAAACAGGAAGTAAGGTTATTAGGAGAAATGACTTTTAGGAGAAATGACTTTTAGGAGATATGGAATTAGGAGATATGGAATTAGGAGATACGTATTTAGGACATATGACCGGAAATCCGAGGCCCTCGAGCAGGGCCGTAACAAACCCAAATTTCGGGGGTGCGACCCCAAAAATTTTTCACTAATATGACTAAAACTACAGCGCCGCAGGCAAAATTTTTGAAAACATAGGGTTTATAACACTAAAACTGGTGTTAAAAATAGACAAAAACAGCGCCGCAGGCAAAAAATTTTTTGGAAAAATTAAATCATAAGGGTCCCCCCTTATGAACTTTTCGGCCTTCGGCCGATTTGGGGGGCGGCTCGCCCCCTCGCCCCCTCTTACGGGCCTGCCCCCGAGCCTTACAGCTAACGAACCAGAACCGGGTTTTTCCCATAGACACATGTTATTTTTTTCAGCTCGCGGATAAAAGACAGCGACTGTTGTTGCAAAAAATGTTGCAACAGCTGGGAGAGGGGTTGAAGACGGGCCCGAGCGAAAGCAGAAAATGCCACATTTTTCGCATCGACGGCGGACGGTGCAGAATGACGAAGCTGGTAATGTTGCGTAGCGCCAGCAAATTGACCGTTGTTCCCTTTTAGTGCGGCATCTACCTGTTTCTTGTACAAAATGCGGGGCACCACGCGAGGCAGACACTGGCCGCCTATCGACAGTTCATCGCAAATTTTTACACGGACAAATATGGCTCGATATGCCTCCCGAAGGGCGTGCCGAGGATCAAATGGGACGGCCTACACTTTTCTTAGTTGTTCAACAATTTTGTCATTTGATTCGTCTTGGGAAATAAAAATATTGCTTAAAAGGGCTCTGACAGCACTTCCCATTACGGAATGTTGGGGCCGGACAGCGACGCAGAGTTCTGTCTGCTTTTCTCCTCGGGGCGCGTTCTTGATCTATCCGACCGTCACCCTTCCATGGCCAGTGGAAAATGGGCCTGCTGCCAGAGCCCCTTTAACTAGTTGTTTCAGCAACGTTTGCAGAGCTCTTCCCGTGCCTGAACGGGTGCTTTCCCTATAACGTGGGGGAGGGGGGCGAGACGAATTTTTCTCCATTAATTCCCGTAATACCTATGACAATTCCGTACGGTACGTGATATAAACCATTTTTATAGTATTTACACAGTTTTTAGATATAAGAAGTTCTGAAGCTCAAACTTTGCATCACCATTCTAAATTTCCCTCCGTAACGAATGTGCGCAATAATTGATTCTAACTCATTCCGCCTCAAAATACATCGAAAGTGGGTTGTTGTTTGGAACCCCCCTTGAGCACTATTGACCGCATGTCTTTCTACTGTGCAGTCGCGCCGTGTGGGGGGGATTTCCATACAGGGAGCGCACTTCCCTTATGCTTTTGAGCTATTCGGAGCAGTCTAAGCCGGTAGAAGCCGCTAAGGATAATAGTGAATAATATTATATTAGTTATAATTCTTTTCGACATGCATGAATTTTGACGTCCGGGCCCCTTTAAAACTTTTCTGTTCGAACATTGCGGAAATCACATAAATCCTGCTACGACAAAGCCTTGCTAATGTGTTTTGTCCAAAAATCTTTATACGCCGTGTAGGCAAAACCTGAACTTTATGGTTGGTCCAGACACACACCCCTAAATTTCTCATTGCAAAATACCTTTTAGGGGGCAAGGAAGTGTATGCATGCGTACAGCCGATCTTTAAGCCATATTTTAGGGCCACCCAAAGGTCGGCTACCTGGTGATGAGGAACTTGTTCCTTGGCATCGACGGCCTGAGATATGATATGAAGGTTTTCTTTTTTCACATTTTGAATTTAACCTATTTTAGGGGTGGGACCGGACGAAGGCCGCTGGCATGACCACCGGGCGTGACAAGGACTTCGACAACGGTTTCCCTGGGGGGAATTCTCCTCGAAAAGCCCGATCGTGACAAGCTTTTGTGCCAACTGGGGCTTGACATCGAGGTGGGGTCACTAATGCAGCCGGCGAGAGAGGGTGAGAGAGAGAGCGAGAGAGAGCGAGCGAAAGAGAGAGAAATGGAAAGAAATAGAGAGAGACTCTTTGCAGGATTTGGCCAACATGAAGCTGCACGATTACAGCCTTTTGCTGTCCGCCGAACCGGTGCTTGAGACAGCAAGCCAGCAAGACCCGGTACGCCAAATAGGTGCCCAAGTAAAAAAAATACTTGTTAAGCCAACAAAACCACTTACCAATTCGTACACATTCAGACCGTGGGCGACCGTTTGTTGGGGAAGACGCCGTTGGGGATCCCGTGCGCCGTGAAGCTTTCCATGATCGACATCTTGACGGAAGGCGTACGCACAACTGGCTACTTTGCAATATTCCATTAGAAACCCCACCAGATCCGCACCCACGAAACCAACTTGATCAAGAGCGTGAAAACGGTGATCTTCCCGAAGCCATCTCCGACCTGCCAGCCGGAGCCGCGTCTCGAGCAGTTGACCATCAACGACAACGGTATAACTTCGCGGTGGTTTCGATTCACATCTTTTCTCTGTGTTTTTTTGCGGCTGAGGGAAACCCCTCGAAAATACTTCACCTGTCCTCGAAACATGTTGTTCGCTCGTCTAACGCTGAGTGGGCGCGGTATTTGGCCATTAAAATGGCAATAGTGGAAGATGAGGCAAACCTTGGCCTGCCCAGCCCCTGAAATTCGTTTTTCAGATGGCGGCAACTCGTCTGGGCCGCCGGCAGCGGCAGCAAGGCGGCGGGCGGGCGACGCAGCAAGAAGAGCCACTCAGCCGAAGGGTCTGACATTGTCGGTATTTTCGCTTATTTTGTCGGGATTTTTGCAACGCCATTCGATAGAGCGTCGAAAAATATACTAAGATTTTTCATTTGAGCCTACAATAATGTAAAATAAAAAAGTTATAGCCAAAAACGTCCGGCTGGGGGGGGGGGATAAAGTAAACCGTAGCCCAGTCCTCTCACCTGGTCTACTAGCCTCTTGAATAGCGAAATTTCCGAAGAAGAAGGTAAGCGTTGAGTTGCTCAGCCACTGACATCCGACTTTTCAGATGGCAGCAAGTCGCAAGCATCGTCGGGCAGCGGTAGCAAGAAGTCCCGCCGTCGCAATAAGAAACAGAACAGGAAGGGGCCGATCGAGACTGCGGTACACATAGGATAACGGGGGGGGAATAAAATAACGGGGGGGCACTCGTTATTATGAAATTTGCAATTACTGAGGGATTTTGCGAGTGCCATTCGATAGAGCGTCGAAAAATATACTAAGAGAATTAATTTCAGCCCGAAAAAATGTAAAAGAAATTTTTTATTGAATAAACAAAAATTGAGGAAAATCTATGGGCAGCACATAGGATAACGGGGGGGAAAGTCAAATTTTCGAAATTTTCGAAACTTTCGGTATTTTGAAAACGTCATTCGATAAAGCGTCGAAAACTGCCCTAGGAAAATTAATTTCAGCCCGAAATAATGTAAATGAAATTTTTTATCGAATAAACAAAAATTGATCAAAATCCATGGGCAGCACATAGGATAACGGGGGGGAAAGCCAAATTTTTGAGATTTTCGATATTTTGAAAACGTGAATCGATAGAACATCAAAAAATATACTAAGAGATTTTTTTACAACGCGTAAAAATGTATTATAAAAGTTTTATAGCCTAAAAACTATTTTTGAAAACTATGGGCAGCACATAGGATAACAGGGGGGGGGAAAAAATTTTCGGCGTTTTGAATATTTTCAAAATTTTGAAAATGCCATTCGATAGAGGACCGAAAAATATACTAAGAGTTTTTTTTACAGCCCGAAAAAAGCTTATTTAAAAATACTTTTATCATATAAAAAGTTTGAGTGCCCCCGTTATTTTCCCCCCCGTTATCCTATGTGTACCCGAGACTGCTATGTAAACCCGTGATCAATGTATTATGCCTTTCTGATTCTGATTATTATTTAATGCCCTGCTCTCGCTGTTATACCTTTTTTGCACGTCTTTGAACAGTCTTTTCGAGTTGTGTATTTTCTTAATGTTCCAGCCACTCGCCCTGTTTGCCCTCGTCTGGCTTGTGTTCCTTTTTGTTCTGTGTGCGCTGGAGCTTTAATAAATGGGGAAGAGGTTTTTCTTACCAGGCATTATTAAAATATTTATCGCTTTACCTCTAATAAATATAAAACTGAATACTGAGCTCTTTCAATGGAAAAACAACAACCCTACTAGGAAAAAATCACAACTCTCTATCCGAGGGAATGCAAATTTTAAGATCCAGCCAGCAAAAAAATCGGTCTTAAAACGGAGATCTTGACCAGAACCAGGCAAGCACAAGCGCGACTAGAGGAAAAAGCACACAAAGATTACAAAAAATTTTAGAGCCAAACATGGCAAGAAATCAGCAGTATCGTTGCGTAGTTTAAGTTGAGGCACAAAGTACATTGGGGAAAAGACATGCGGGTACGGTATATTCTAGAATGTAGCGGCAGTTGGAAAAGCAGTGTTTTTTTGAAAGTAATTGGGTGAAAGCATGGGGTTATTTTTGCAGGCTAATACGTTTAAAGGGACTAGATCAACTAGATCTAGCTCGTCCCCGTGATCAACTAGGTCTAGACAGCCACGTGACACGCGAAAAACGCTGGAAAGTGCCTCTAGATTTTAATAAGTTAAATTTGAGGGTAATTAGTCAGTATGAACCGTTATTTAGACATTTCGCGTAGCTGTCTAGAACTAGTCGTCGCTAGGGGTCTATTCCCCTTGAAATAATTTTATAGAGTTCATTTTGTACCTCGGCTACAGTATGATGCATCAATATGAAACCGGAACTTTCTCACGATTATTTAAATGGTCTCATCACCGCGCGGGTGCGCTGGTAGTCGTATGACTTTGTCTCGGTGATGCGCGACGATTGGACGGGAGGGGCACGACGTTGTTCGGCCCTAAAAGTGAATTATTCAGGCAACCTAGCAGAGATTATTTGGGAATTAAAGGGGCAGGCTAGCGGATATCATTTGGGAATGGAAGGGGCAGGATAGCATAGATCATTTGGGAATGGAAGGGGCAGGCTAGCAGAGATCATTTGGGAATGGAAGGGGCAGGCTAGCAGAGATCATTTGGGAATGGAAGGGGCAGGCTAGCAGAGATCATTTGGGAATGGAAGGGGCAGGCTAGCAAAGATCATTTGGGAATGGAAGGGCAGGCTAGCAGAGATCATTTGGGAATGGAAGCGGCAGGCTAGCAGAGATCATTTGGGAATGTAAGGGGCAGGCTAGCAGAGATCATTTGGGAATGGAAGGGGCAGGCTAGCAGAGATCATTTGGGAATGGAAGGGGCAGGCTAGCAAAGATCATTTGGGAATGGAAGGGGCAGGCTAGCAGAGATCATTTGGGAATGGAAGGGGCAGGCTAGCAAAGATCATTTGGGAATGGAAGGGGCAGGCTAGCAGAGATCATTTGGGAATGGAAGCGGCAGGCTAGCAGAGATCATTTGGGAATGTAAGGGGCAGGCTAGCAGAGATCATTTGGGAATGGAAGGGGCAGGCTAGCAGAGATCATTTGGGAATGGAAGGGGCAGGCTAGCAAAGATCATTTGGGAATGGAAGGGCAGGCTAGCAGAGATCATTTGGGAATGGAAGGGGCAGGCTAGCAAAGATCATTTGGGAATGGAAGGGGCAGGCTAGCAAAGATCATTTGGGAATGGAAAGGGCAGGCTAGCAGAGATCATTTGGGAATGGAAGGGGCAGGCTAGCAAAGATCATTTGGGAATGGAAGGGGCAGGCTAGCAGAGATCATTTGGGAATGGAAGCGGCAGGCTAGCAGAGATCATTTGGGAATGTAAGGGGCAGGCTAGCAGAGATCATTTGGGAATGTAAGGGGCAGGATAGCAGAGATCATTTGGGAATGGAAGGGGCAGGCTAGCAGAGATCATTTGGGAATGGAAGGGGCAGGCTAGCAGAGATCATTTGGGAATGGAAGGGGCAGGCTAGCAGAGATCATTTGGGAATGGAAGGGTCAGGCTAGCAGAGATCATTTCGGAATCAGGAACCCTCTTACCGTCGCTTCCTCTCCGCTTCCAGCTGTTCTCTCAGAAGCCCTAGTTGGGACTCGAGCAGCTTCTTCTTGTGGGCGTAGTTCATCTCCTTCTGCTCGAGAAGCATTTCGAGCTGAAAACAAGTGATTTTTTTCTCTCTCTCCCCCGCTCTCTCTCTCTCTGTCGCTCTCTCTCGTTCTTTCCCTTTCTCTGCCTACCTGTCGCTTCTCCTGTAACATCTTCCCGAATCGGGCCTCAAGTTCGGCGTGTTCTTTCAGCATTTTTGTTACGGACTTCGTGCCCGTGTCACGTTCAAGGTGTTGTATCTGAAAATATTAAGTTTTATCGATAGTGATAGCAATTTAAAAGGACTGGAAATCACAAAAATCAATCTCGCCTTCGACGAGGTCCTCACAGCCACGCGATCCGCGAAAGCATTTGGTCTTTTCCTGCGCAAACCTATTTGGTATTTTCGTATTTTCGCGTTCTTGTCTAGGCCTAGTCGAAACAGGGGTTGATTCTCTGCCTTCCTAGTCCCTTTAAAGCAGTTCGTCACCTGTGTCTGCAGCTGTGTACAATTCCTGTACAGCTCGCTGTTCTCCTTCTCCATCGCTGCCAGGCTCTTGTCCATTGCGCGCTTCTCGGAGACGGTCTGCTTCACCGCCTCGTCGGTACGGGACCGGTCTTCTTCTAGCTGAAAAAAGAATCCGATGCCGAGTCACAGTTAATTTATCTTTCCATGGTGCTTTTTTGTAAGCTTTTCCGAGCCGAAGCCAAAGCATAAACCAAAGCCCATACCAAAGCCTAAGCATACGCCTAAGTCTAAGCTTAACTAGTAGTAACTAACAACCCTACTAGGAAGAAAACTTACCGCGTCAACATGCTTCTTCAGGGCTGCCACTTCTCTCTCAAGCCTGACTCGTGCGGCTTCGATTTCTCGTCTCTCGACTTCGCATCGGGTTAGACGGCGTTTTAGCTGAAAATAATTTTTCTCAACGTCTAGTCCTTATCTTTTGCTATCTCACTCGCTCTCTCTCTCTCTCTCTCTCTCTCTCTCTCTCTCTCTCCCTCGCTCTCTTTTCTCTGTATCTCTCTCTCGCGCTCTCTCTCTCTCGGTCTTTTTTGTTCTCTCACTCTCTCCCTCTGCATTTCTCTCTCTCTCTCTCTCTCTCTCTCTCTCTCTCTCTCTCTCTTTCTCTCTCTCACCTCCTCAATCTCAGCCGTATTCGACAGCTTATCCTTCCTCAGCAGCTTCAGCTCATCCCGCAGCTCCCGCTCCAACTTCTGCCAGTCGGTCTCCATCTGCAAATTTAAATTTTATAGGAAAACTAGAGGCGATGAAGCCATGCGACGAGCGGGGCCAAAAATCCCACAAATAGCATAGCTAATTCCACAAAAAATCGACCCGAAAATCGTAATAAACCCCCAAAATAATGGGTGCGTGCAGGGTGAGGGGATTAGTAGATGGACCTGGAAGGGGCAAATGAAACATACTTGGTTGCCAGGGTAACGCAAGGGAGTGAAAAAAAAAACTCCAAAAAAACAGCTTAAAATTCCACAAGATTTTTGACCTCAATTTTCGTTCTTTCTGAAAGCTGGTTCGTTCGAGCAAATTTCTGCCTGTCGCACGCCCTTTAAAACGAAAAATTCCGGATAAATACGGCAAGCATTTGCCTTTTTTAGCCGGATCATTCCGGACATTCCAAATTCCAACCTAGTCCGTTGGTTGCATTCAGCTACGCCTCCTAATTACGGTAGGAAGCTAAGCACTGACCGTTAAGAATCACGATTGACGCAGGCCGGATACGATACACCACGTTAGGAAAGAATAGTCGCAAGCAGAGCTAAAGCGCGACACACAATTCCAATGCGCTCCGAATTACAAGCAAACGGACGGTTCGATTATTAAGGATACCGATTTACAGTAGGCGTTTAAAGCGTGCCAAATTTCAGGCGAGTGTAGTCCCCTAGCGACAGTAAGACCCGGGACATTCCAGAAACGGCAAAACGAGCGGGTACGCTCCAGGGCAAGCCACAGGTCGGCAAGCTACAGTAGGACCCGGCATTCCAAGCGTTCCAAATGACGCGATCGGCGTGCCGAATTACCAGGTGCAATTGAGTGAGCGCCAGATGAGGGCGGTGAAGAGAAGGAGGAGGAGCAGCAGTATGAACGGCCGAATTGAGCATATCCACTCACGCAGCGTGAGGCTTCGCCGGGGACGAGGCTGCTGTTTTGGAGGGGTGTATTTTATTGGGCAAATCCTTTTTAAATGGATCGGATCGTGAAAATCGACCCCTTGCATTGACTAGGCCAGGACGACTACGCGACGCGCCAAAACACGGGTTTACGCAATTTGATAGCAATTATTGCTAGGGCGTGGGGCAAAATAAGAGACGGTGGTGGTGTCATTAGTTGTGTCGTGTAACCGTCGAGACCTAGTCGATGTAGGGGTCGATTCTACTGCTTACCCGGCCCTTTAAAATATTCTCTGAGCTGTCAGAATATTTTTTTGGGTAGCAGAAGCGGTGCTGGTGATTTTTCAAACCAAAGAAAACGAAAGCCGGCAAAGAATTCCTGATTTTAATGATAAAAATCACTAAAATATATAATGCATAATTTAATACGGTAGATTTTGTCGGTATTACCTTCTTGGTGCCCTGGATATTTGTGCAAAAACTTATCGTCGAGTTTTTTAGCGAGTGCAACGTGTGTTCAAAAACCTTTTTTTTGGTGAAAAAGTGGTGCATTTTAGCCAGATTTTCCTCTATAAAACCTTCTAATTTTGATGGAAATAATTAAGATATTGATAGATACCTTTTGCATGCTGCTCAACGCTTTTTCGACGAGTTTCCGTTTCTGTAGCTCGTCGTCGAGCCGGGATTCGGCTTCCCGGAGGCGATTTGTCGAGCTGTTTGACTTATTTAGGGCTTCTTTCAGTTCTTGTCTAAATAAATACAAAATTAGAAATATCTATGAAACGAAGTAACAAAATTCACATAAAATTTCTAATTTCCTACCGTAATCGTTCCGCTTGAGTCTGCAGTTGCTCGTGCGTTGTGTGGAGCGTGTCGTAGTTTCTTTGGAGGTTGCCGAGACGTTCTTCATAGATGGAGCGGTGGTATTCTTCGCTGGTCTTTTTTGCAGCAACCGCCTAGAGAGTGGGAGATTGAGAACGAGTGAGAAAGAGTGAGAGAGAGAGAGAGAGAGAGAGAGAGAGAGAGAGAGAGAGCGAGGGCGGGGAGGGAGAAAGAAAGAGAGCGGGAGAGTGCAAGCGAGAGCGAGAGAGAGAGAGAAAGTGAGAGTGAGAGAGAGCGACAGGAAGAAAAACCAGAAGACAAGACCCACCGTATTCCTCCAGTGCCTCTCCTCAGCTTGCGCTCTCTCGATCGCCTCCCTCCTCCTATCTTCACTCATCTTCATCTCCTCCATCGCCTTCCTCTGGCTATCGTTGACCTGCTCCATCTCGATGAGCTGCTTCTTGAGGTTCTAAAGATTTTTAGCACTTTCAAAAAATTTGATTCTAGATACCTTCAAATCTTGTTGCAGGTTGTCGAGCTGGACAGCTAGGTGGCCACGTTCAAGATCACCCTGGTATTGAATGGTTGGAAAAGCAATAAACCATCGATCTATCTTTCTCTCTCGCTCTCTCTCTCTCTCTTTCTCTCTCTGTCTTTCTCTCTCTCTCTCTCACCTTTTCTCCCTCCTGCTCGGCCGTTTTCAGGTCTTTCTCGAGGTGTATCATCTGTGACACTAGCTTCCGCTTCTCTTCCGTTTGCTCGGCCAGATCGAGTTTTTGAGTGTCGACGAGCGTCTGAAATAGTTGATTTCAAACATTATTAATGCGTATAACAAAATATATATCTAAAGTATCGACCCACCAAAAGCTGCTGGATCTTGCTCTCCTTCTCCCGGACGTGCAGCTCGGCGGACATTAGCTTGGCTTTGAGAGTTCTGAAAAGGCGGAGGTGAGTCAGGGAGCGAGAGAGAGAGAGAGAGAGAGGGAGAAAGACGGAGGGAGAGTAAGAAAGAGAGAGAGAGAGAGAGAGAAAGAGAGAGAGAGACATACCTGAACTCGCCCTCCCTGCTGCGCATCGACTCCTCGTTGCTGAGGTACATTTGGCGCTGGTTGTTCATCCGACCCTCTAGCAGTTTGTTATCTGAAATGTGGTGGAATTTTGTGATGTACGGGGAGAGAGTGAGAGAGAGAGAAAGAGAGAGAGAGTGAGAGTGAGAGAGAAACAAACCGTTCTCCAACTGCTCGGCCTTCCTCTGCAACGAGTCCAAGAGTTGCGTAACTTCATCAAGCCGTCGTTTCGCCAATTTCTCACTTTGCCGACTGTCGCCAAGAGCTTGGGTAAGCGACGTTCGTTCCCTAAAATAAAAGATAACGTAACCGGTGTAACCCTTACTTTTCTAGCTGTTCTATTCTTTCCTTCAGGTATCGAATTGTGATATCCATCGATGGTGTGATGCCCAGTGCCTTTAGGCGCTCCCCGGAATCGTCGAAGTGGACCTGAAAGTAGGAATAAGATGAGAAGGGCAATCGATCCAAGAACCGGCAATCGACCCATGTATCGACTAGGTCGAGACCGTTATGCAATACACAAAAATACGAGCCAGATTCAGACTTTTGCGTAAATTTAAAAGCCTTAATGATTTTTGAAAGGAATCCGCTCCAAGCGAACCCAGCTGGACGTGCGTTTTTGAGCGTCGCGTAGCTGCCGAGACCTAGGCGAGGTAAGGGGACTGGTTTTCGCGATGCCTGGCCCCTTAAAACGACATTCCTGCCCAAAACTAACCGATCGCTCCGGTGAGAAGTCAGCCGACATATTTTGTGTTGAGACGCTGCCTCGAAGGTGTGGAATCGAGACTGGAGCTCCGATGGAGCCATCTAAAGCCATCGTTTCCGCTTCTACTAATGCTTGCTAGCAAGACACGACGCAACCGTAACGCCTACAAAGATCGAAAACCACTTACAGGAAGAATGGTGATCATGGCTCAAATCCAACGTCGAATTGCCTGTCCGCATCGAGGAGTGTTCTGAAAAAGTAGAGTTAGGGCCTTGTTTGTGTTGCGCATGGGTTCACGATCTCTTGCGGTCTCTAGAATGTAATCCTGATGCTTTCTACATGTTTTTTGTTGTGGAACGAAGTTAACTGAATCCCTACTCCCAATTCCAATGGCAGCGCTCCTCTCGTATTGACTATTCCGGACGGCCAGCTCGTCTCGTCTCCCTTCCGCTTCCGCCAACTTTGCCTCGAGTTCCGTTTTTCGTCTCTCAGCCCGCTCCAACTTTGCCTCAAGCCCGAGCACTCCGGCGCGAAGCTGGTCGGCTTCGGCTTGATTTGAGTGGGCCTTGCGTTCCGCCTAAAAGTCTTATTTAGAAGCTACGGTTCCCAAATGATCTCTGCTAGCCTGCCCCTTCCATTCCCAAATGATCTCTGCTAGCCTGCCCCTTCCATTCCCAAATGATCTCTGCTAGCCTGCCCCTTCCATTCCCAAATGATCTCTGCTAGCTGACCTCCTTATAATTGTCCAACAAATCAGCCAGCGCTCTCTGCGATTGCTGCGTCTTCCTTTCAAGCAACGTTTTCAGGGTCGTCACTTCTTCCGTGAGCTTTGAGGTCGAGATTTTGAGCTCTTCATTTCGTCGTCGATAGTGGGTGACCTAAAAAGGATCTAATTGTTGGAAATGGTCGATTTTAGCGCTTCCCGTTCCCTTTAAACCAGGCTTGCGAAGGCACTACCTTCTCCGCATCCTCCTTCAACTCGGTCATCATGTTTTTCTCAGTATTCTCTAGCTTTTTCAACAAATCGGTGGTTGACTCGAGTTTTGCTGTTTTGTCGGCAAGTTGGAGCTCTAGGGCTTGGACCTAAAACATAAAATGGATAGGTTCAGCTCAACTGAGCCTCACTTTGTTTTGGAGTGCCATCTTGGCCTCTTGAGCATCATCAGACTCCTCTCGGCGGTGATCAGCTTCGATTTGCTTCAGGTGGACTTCTTTTTGGAGCTCACGGATGCGCTGGTCTTGCTCTAGAAGAAAAACATGCAGAGCGAGAAAGAGAAAGAGAGAGAGAAAGAGAGAGAGAGAAAGAGAGATAGAGAGAGCCGGGGAAAGAGACTGCGAGAGGGAGCAAAAGCGAGAGTGAGAGAGTGAGAAAGAGTGAGAGAGTGAGAGAGCGAGAGAGCGAGAGAGAGAGAGTGCGTGAGAGAGTGAGAGAGATACTGAAACTCCGTACCTTCACACTTCTGACTCCTTTCTGCGAGTAGCTGCTGGTGACGCTCAACTGCATGACGAAGTTCACTGGCCTGAAGCATGCCCATTCAGTTTTGAAAGCTTTCTGTCGTCATTTGTAGCGTTACGTAGTACAGTTAAGACACCCACTTCTCTTGTAAATAATGCCAATTCGTCCCGCAGTGAATTTTCCCTCGCCTCGGCTTCGGCCAGCTGGGCGGTCAGCTCGTCGGCTTGGGATTCCAAATTCTGGATGGCGGTGGTTTCTGAAAGGAATTCGGTAGCTCTAGGGATTCTTTAGCTTTACTTTCGCTCTCTCTCGCTCTCCCTCTCCCTCCATCCCTCTCTCACCCACGCTCTCTCTTGCTCTCTTTCTCTCTTTCTCGTTTTCCCTTTCTCTCTCTCTCTCTCGCTCGCTCTCTCTCTCTCTCTCCCCTCTCTCTCTCTCTCTCTCTCTCTCTCTCCCTCTCTCTCTCTCGATCCAGCTTACTTTTTGCGATGAGCGTCACCAGTCGATCCCTCTCCGATTCGAGCATATCCTTATTTCGTGACAACTCGTCGTACTGGGTCTGCGAACGTGCTATCCGGACCTCATGCTCCTCGACCTAAAAAGAGACCGTTAAAGGGACAAGTAAGACATGGTTATCGATGTCGTAAGTTAGGAAGTCCCATGAATTCGCCACGGCACGCAACGCGCGTTCCACATAATTTTGCCTTGTCGGTCCCTTTAAAAGGCTTGCGAAAATGAAAGTTTAAATAATTTAAATTATACAGGGCTATCGTGCCAAAATTCAAGACATGCTAGGTGTTTGATATTTTTACATGTTCGGCTAGACGCCAGCTGGGTGGGGGGAACGGAAGTGTGGGTTGGGTGGGTTGTTGCACGCCGCCGGCCGGAAATCGGGGGTGCACCGAAAATAAAAAAAGAGAGGGCGAGAAAGCAGAAAAACAGCCAAGCACACCAGTGAACGAAGCCGAGAAAACGGATTTTAAAGAGACTAGGAAGCGTGAGAATCGACCCCATCCGTTGAAGAGGTCTAGACAGCCACCAGACACAACACGAGCAGTGTTTCAACTTGGGCACGAGCCCGTGCCAGAGCACGAGCAGCTTGAATTAGCTGCGGAACCCGGACGGATTTTGCCGCGGCACGCAACGCGCACGCACGCAGGCCGCTTGCCCCGCCTGACACGCACGTGCCTTCGCGCCGTCGCGCCGGCCGCAGAATCCATAGCAAATCCGTGGCCACCTACATCCAGGCCCATGTCTTACGCGTTCCTTTAGAGCCAAATTATTTTCCTTTATTAAAGCCCCTGAAAAGGGCTGGAATCGACCGCTTCCATCCACTAGGTCTAGACAGCCACGCCACACGCCAAAACACGCATCTAAACACGTTTGATTTCGCCATGCGACTGCTCCCGAGAGACCCTATTCCGCGTCTTTTGGCGCGTCGCGAATCTGTCTAGACCTTGTCGCAGCCGGCATCGATTTCCACGCTTCCTGCTTCCTTTAAAACGCGACAAGCTACTCAAACAAAATTTTCCATGCAACTATTACCTGCCAGCTCTGCGTGATGCTCTCGTGGATACGGTAGTCGGGCAATGGTTCACGCCACACATTTCTTGGCAACGTGCCAAACACAGTAACACTCCGGCGTGCGGGTCCAAACTACAAAGTACACCACGTTACGGTCACCAAGCACGATTACAACGGAATGCAGTAGCAAACGTAGTGAAGCGGATTTTCACGCCAAAAAGAACAGAAAAAGTAAAGTTGCTAGTTACCTTATTGTGGCCAAGTTTTCGTTCCGAGTCTAGTTGCTGCTCGAGTTGCGAAATGTTTTGACTAAAAATTACCTCAAAAATAAAAATAAGGCTTACTGTAGTCGGCCCAGCTCCTCTTGTCGAGTGTCGTTTATCGATTTTTCCTTTGCCAGCTCCTCTTTGGTGTCGTCGAGTTGTTTTTGGAGGATGGATTCTGGAAAAAAACTTGATCGATCGGCTTCAGGGCTAGCTAGCAGAGATTCTTGAGGAATCGTGGTTTTGCTACAGGGCGAAGTTGGACATCTAAAAACATTGTAAGCTAGCAATACATGCCTTTCTCTCCAATCTCGTCAATCATCCCTTGGAGTCGCTTGAACTCCTCGGTGACTTGGGACATCGCTTCATCCCGCTGCTTCGTTTCCTGGAATTGTCCAATGTTTCTCACGCTCATTTTTTTCTCTCTCTCCCCCTCTCTCTCACTCTATCTCTCTCCCACTCTCGCTCTTTTCTTATTATATCTCTTATTCAGATCACAAAATTAAATGAAAAACCGCTGACCTTGGCACGTAGCTCCTCGTACTCCTCGCGGTCGGCCAGAGCTTGCTCCTCGAGCTCCTAGAAAATGGTGGTATTCACGAGTAAAACTTACTAGTTTTCTCTCGCACTCTCTCACTCTCTCTCTCGCTCTGTCTCTCTCGCTCTCCCTTACCTCAATTTTCTTCTTCAACCGTCTGGTCTCATCTTCCTGTTTCTCAACAGCCTGATCTCGATCGATTTCCAGCACCTCATTCTCAGTTTTCAGCCGATCAACCTCCAGGGTCAATTCCTTGGATCTAGCCTCCATATCGGCCAGGTGTCGCCTCAAAGATTCCTAAAAAAATTTGGATGCCACCACCTTTCTAAACTCACCAGATCCGCTTCTTGAGCACGAGCTTTCTGTGTCCATTCTTCACGCACTGTCTAAAATCTTCGGTTAAAAATTTGAAGCGGTATTTACCAAAATATCGGTCGTCTTGATCTCTTCAATTTTGGCCACCTCTGCCTTGCTACGCTCGTCCCGTTTGATGAGGTCGTTGTGGAGGTCTTCGAGCTTATCTGGAAAAACACATAGATATATTGAATATGAAGAGTTCGCTCTCTTTCTCCCTCCGTCTCTCTCTCTCGCTCTCTCTCTTTCCCACACTCTCACTCTCTCTGTCCCTCCTCACCTCTCATATCTTCAATGATAGCGTTCTTTTCAGATACGTCACGCTCGAGTTGGTCGTTTTTCGAGCGGATCTCATCGATGAGGAGCTTCACTTGGTGGTCCTAGAAACGTACGGTACTCAAAAGCCGTCGAAAAAATCTATTTGTTGCAAATTTTATGATTTTGTATGTAGAGCCAGGGCCCTGACTTCCCAGTCCCTTGAAAGCGAAGCTTTCAACCGCAATGCAAAAGCAACGCCCACGCAACGCTACATAACGCGTTCATACGGTAAACAAACTGAAACCCAATTTACCTGCTCTATCCGACCCGAGATATCCTTCTCCATTGTTGCTATCTTCGCGTTGAGGGCGGCCACTTCATGGTTCCGGTTGTTCAACTCGTCCTGGGCCATGTCTTTTTCTCTAAAAAGTTCATCTTTAAGTTTAAATCTTTTGAACTTTTGGAGTCGACAAGACCTTCATGCTCAACTCATTTCCGTCTCACGTTCCTCAGCAAAGAGCTGGAGTTTTAAAAATTTTAATTTAGGTTTTAAGTCGCTTATTGAAGCTAAATGGCCGCTAATAAATGGTGATCGGCCATCGTTTTACTATACGTGCAAGATATCAGGCCATACCTTAACGCCTGCTCTCGTTCACGCTCCAACACCTGCGATTCCTCCGCCCGCTGCTCGGCCATATTCCGCGCGTATGCGAATTGCTCACGCTGGGAGGCCATTTCGTCGGTGATCTAAAAAATTCTCTCGTTTCTCTCTCTCTCTATCTCGATATCTCTCGCTCTCCCTCCTTGTGAAAAAACCTACAGCTTCAGCCCTTGTCTGCGCCTCTTGGAGAGATGCTTTCAATTCCCGGATGGTTTCTTCATGCTTTTCAATCGTTGAATTCAACTCCTCGGATTGTTGTTCGAGTTCTAGAAAAAAAAGATAGGCTAGCGGAGTTCATTTAGGAATGCAAGGGGCAGGCTAGCAGAGATCATTTGGGAATGGAAGGGGCAAGCTAGCAGAGATCATTTGGGAATGAAAGGAGCAGGCTAGCAGAGATCATTTGGGAATGGAAGGGGCAGGCTAGCAGAGATCATTTGGGAATGGAAGGGGCAGGCTAGCGAAAATCATTTGTATCTTGATTATATTCTAGAGCATACAAAGAGAATATTAGAAGACCAAAGCAATCTTATGGCAAAACTAAATTGTAGCCTTGCGCCAGTAAACATACCTTCCTCCCTCTGGCTGGCCTGCTCCAGCCGGTTCCCCATCTCATTCATCTGTTCCCTCGTCTCGGCCGCCTGGTCTTGCAACGATTTATTCTCGTCGGTCATGATGTCGATTGTTCCGGAGACCTCGGCGAGTTCGGCTTTGACGCGTTTTTCCTTGTCTTTGGCGTGTTCGTACTTGGCTCTGGAAACGAGTAATATTGCCTGATGTTGAAACCCTTCAGACACTATGGCGCTGATTTTCAGAAAAGAGAAAGATAGGGAGAGGGAGAGAGACAGAGAGTGAGAGAGATCGGCAGAGTCGGAGCGAGAGCGTGGGAGAGAGTGTCTGAAAGAGGGCAAGATAGCGATAAAGAGAGGGAGAAAGAGAGAGAGAACGACAGAGTCAGAGCGAGAACGTCAGAGAGGGTGAGAGAGGAAGATAGAGAGAGAGAGAGAGAGAGAGAGAGAGAGAGAGAGGAGGGAGAGAGAGAGAGAGCGAGAGCCCGGGAGAGAGAGTGAGAGAGAGGGGCATAGCGATAGAGAGATATATTTTTAACTTACCTCAACTCGTGTATCGCCTTGTCCTTATCATCTTCCCCAGCCTGCGCTTCTGCCAGCTGCTCTCTTATCCTCTTGATCTCGTCGCTTAGGTGGGTGTTCAGCATTTCTAAAATCGGGTGTTTTATTAAAAAATCCATAGGGCTGATTTAAGTATATTTAAGCCCAATTACTATACCCTTATCTTCCATGGCTTTTCGTACTGTGGCCAGGTCCGCTTGTACGTCCCGCAGCTGTTGACGCAGTCCTTCGCCATCGTTTTTGGTCCGTTCGAGCTCGTCTTTGATCTGAAAACGACTTAAAATATTAATAGAATTGATTCACGCAAGAATATCTATCTCAGGTGTGGTTTAGTGAAATGAAATCAGTTGAATTACGCAATTTAGCTCACCCTGGTCGCCCTCGTCCTTTCCTCGTTGATCCTTTCTTCAGATTCCGTCTCGTAGTGTTTTTGCCTGACATCGAGCTCCTCTTTGTGACGCTCCGTCAGAGTTTCGATGAATTCTCGCTGCAGTCTGGAGGATTTTTCGATGAGAATTGTTTAAAGGAAGAAAATTATTTGAAGTTTTAAATAAAAATTGTTACGCTTTCCAAATTTGTCAGTTTTTGTGTTATGCTAGCTCAATTTTTAGCGTTCTCAGACCCTTTAATTTTCAAAAACGTCTAACTAAGCGTCGCTCTGTTTGGGTCGCCATATCCAAAGTTTACGTTAAGCAACTAATAACGTACTTATGAATGTGCGCAATGCTGTCTTGTAATTGTTGTATATTCTCCTGCAACCGCTGCTTGTCCTCTTCCGCACTCTGCATTCTTTCGTCAGCTCTCCTGGACTGCTTCTCGAGGTCTGCCAGCTCGTGCTCTCTAAAAGATCTGAATTACAGCAAACCAAGGGCTGAAGCACCTTTTCTTGGCTTCCTCTTCCCTTTGCCTGTCTCTTTCGGCTCTGGTTTTTAGCTCTTTTTCTAGGCGTTCAATGTCCCGTTGCAATCTTTCGGTTTGGGCTTCCGAGCGCTCGAGTTTCATCTGAAATGGCGAGTTAGAGAGAGAGAGAGCGAGAGAGAGCGAAAGAGAGAGAGAGTAAGAGGGAGAGAGCGAGAGAAAGAGGGTCATCGCTAGTTGGAGAGAGCGAGTGAAATAATGGCAAACCTGTAAATCCTTCAACTCCACATTTCGAGCATGCAAGGTCGAGCGAATTTTTCTCATGGCTTCACCGCCGCTGGTACCAGGAGAACCTAAAAAGTATCGTAAAATAGAGAGCGAGAGAGAGAGAGAGAGAGAGAGAGAGAAAAAGGAGAGAGAGAGAGGAGCAACAGAGAGCGATCGTGAAAAGCAGCTTTTTCTCACCAGGACTCTGACTCCTCGACCTCGGCTTGCCCTCCTTATTTTGCGTCAATTCGGGCATGTTCGATATCTTCCCTAGCGCGTCTCGAATCCCCTCTTTTTCCTCCTTCTCTCTTCTCAACTCTGTTTCGAGTTTTGCTATTCTGCGGCTCTTCTCCGAGTTTTGCTTCTCGACCTGAAAATTCAGTTTAAAGAGACTAGATCCTCAAGAATCGACCACTTTCGTCTACTGGGTCTAGACAGTTTCGCGATAAGTAGAAAAAATGACTCGCGACCAACCTCAGCATTCCGCTCCGACAGCTCCTCGTACTTTTTGAAGACCTCGTTGACGACCTCGTCCTTTTCACGCGTCATTTGGTGTTGAACGGTGCTGGTCTGAAAAAGAGTCGGTTTTTCGAAGTATTGTGTTATCTACAACTCCGCTAAAAATCCATAATTTGGCCTTCCCTGTCCCTTTAATGATACCTATTGCGTATGACAAGCCAGATTTTAGCTTCCCAACCCCTTGAAAATCCACGCACCCTGCCCTCGGCTTGCTTGATCGCCTTCTGCATCATCTGGGTGCATCTGGCGAACTCGCCCATCTGCTTCTCCATATCGGCCGCGGTGAGCGTCTTCAGCTCTTTCATCTGGTTACTGTATGATGGGCAAGCTTTAGGATCCAACCTGTCTTTTCACAGCCAAAAACGCTTTCCAGAGCGAGATCAGCTGGCGGTGCTGCGTGTCGAGGTGACTTCGGTAACGCTAGAAAGCGGACGTCAAACTTTGTGAGAATTATTTAGTTGAGGTATCCTTCATACTTCCTACCTGATACGCACAAACCTCAAGGTATTTGATAGCCTTTTCGTACCTGATTCTCAATCCTGAATCGGTCCTGTTCGTCTCTGTACTCACGGCTCAAGAACTCGAGTGTTCGGGTCAGCTCGCTGACGTCGGTTCTGAAGAAAATCCCCATGCGGCGAATCAATAAAAATCAAATACTAAACTCTAGAGTGTTTTTAACGGAATTTGGAATGCACAACTATCCAGGTGGCCCAAATATAGCTAAAATAAGAGCCATAGTGGCTAGGCCTGAGCCGTGCGAAGTCGTAAAAACTTTACGACTACCTTGCTCGATACCGCTTCAGTAATTACGGATTTATTACTTATACAAGCAAATGCCAACCTCAAATTAACATTTGCCGTTAGCGCTGCATCATTTTCGGCTTTTAGCATGTCGTTAATTTCTTCGAGGGTGTTGTTTCTAAAATTGAATTATAGCGATAGTTTTCTCTCTCTCTCTCGATCTCTCACTCTCTCTCTGTCTCGCTCTGTCTCTCTCTGTCTCTCTCTCTCTCTCTTCTCTATCTCGTATCTATAGCTTTTAGCTCGAACTACGATCAGCATCGCGGCCATTTCGGAACCACAAATTTATCGCCCGCTCCGGGCCACCCACTAATGGAGGCCACTTTGCTGGCGCCACTCGGGCCAGCGAGACGCCAATTTTGGGGGATGGATTGCATGAAATATAGTAGGGGTATAGCGAGCGAAAGAGAGAGAGAGAGAGAGAGAGAGAGAGAGAGAAAGACAGTATGCGGTAGAGAAACTCACTTGAACAGCTCGGCCTTGAGCTTGTTGATGAGCCCCTCAATCTCGCGATCGGCTTCATCCTCCCGTTCTCGACCAAACATCGAGGGATCTATGTTGATGTTGATGGTCTCGGAGTGACGGTCAACCTCAAAGGATCTAAAAATTGGAATTGGGCAGGCCAGCAGGGATTATTTCGGAAATCCAACGCTGCTGCAAAGCCTACCGATTCAGAAGTGGTGACGATCTGTGTAGGGGGGATACACGTAGCTGTGAGGAATAACCGGGCTCCGTTGAGAAATCCGGTGATGGCTGTTGGTATTGTCTGAAAATGATCTCTGCTGGCCTGCCCCTTGCATTCCCAAATGATCTCTGCTAGCCTGCCCCTACCATTCCCAAATGATCTCTGCTAGCCTGCCCCTTCCATTCCGAAATGATCTCTGCTAGCCTGCCCCTTCCATTCCCAAATGATCTCTGCTAGCCTGCCCCTTCCATTCCCAAATGATCTCTGCTAGCCTGCCCCTTCCATTCCCAAATCATCTCTGCTAACCTGCCCCTCACTTACTGATTCTGCCTCCCGCTATCCAATCTGCTCATCGATCTGTTATGCCGAGCTCCAGCCATCAACGCATCTTTTTCCGAGGCCCGTTGCCGGATTTTTTGGATCTAGAAGGAAAGCCAGTGTCAATAAGCTCTGCTAGCCTGCCCACCTGGTCATTGAGCCCCTGGAGAACCTCACGGTTCCGTCGATTTTCCTCGACACCGGCTTCAAGCCGCCTTCTGCTTTCCAGCAACTCCTGGGTGATGTTCGAGACATCCTCCGTCGAACCTGATGATGATGTTGGTAATATTTGCGTCCGAAGCACCATGCCGATTGTTACTTTTATTGGAACTAGAACCCCCCCCCCCCCCCCCCAAACCCCCCCCCCCCCCCCCCACACCCTTTTTTTTTTTTCTTTTTGACTGTCTAGACCTAGCCGCTATAAGGGTGGATTTTGGCGCTTGCCGGTCCCTTTAAAACAAATCCAAGACTGACCCGAAGCGACGAGCTGCACCTTCTTTGGCATCCTAGAGGGCAGTTGGCTATCTCATTTTGGAGCCTGAAATTTTGATGTCAATAAGAAAAATAAGAAGAAATATAAAATATATACACGTTTGAATAACTATTTATAAAGTTATACAAAAAGCAAAAACAAAAAAAATATAGTAAGATGTGCAGACAATATATTTAATACCACAGCTAAAGCACAAAGATCCCCGACGCTTTTAAGCAGCAGGAATCCAATTTTTGAGGTCCTCACTGGGTTTGGGGTAGAGAGAGAAAGCGAGAGAGAGAGAGAGAGAGAGAGAGAGAGAGAAAGAGAGGGAGAGAGAGAGAAACGGAGAGATTCAGAGAGACAGAGAGGGACAGAGAGAGAGAGACACAGGAAGATATATGAGAGGAGAGAGAGAGAGAGAGAGAGCGAGAGAGCCCGAAGTATTTTACTGGAAACCGAAAAACGCGCAACTTTTTAGCGAAACCCGCGGGTGCAGCCCCGGGAGTGAATGCCCGGTGTGCCCTGAGGGCAATTATCGTCTGCCGTCGTGTGTTGCATTCAATGGTCTCCCTTTGTTAGCCCCCGGGAGCGAAAAGTCGACGTGGGCGAGAGACGATTTTAGAAACTTTTTACGTTTAGTATCTCAAGTTTAATGGAATGAAGGGGTTCAGTTTATCAAGAAAATCGGGGAAAATTGGCATTAAAGCGACTAGGAAGCGAGAGAATCGTCTCTTCCATCGTCTAGCTCTTGACGGCTACGCATCACTCCAAATGACGCGCTGCGAGATTTTGGCTTCGATCTAACATTTTTAATCGCTATAAGTACCAACAACAACGCTAGACTTGGATCGTGGTGAAGCTTTCTAAACCTAGGCACTGTACGGGTCGATTCTCAAGCTTCCGAGTTCCTTTAAAGGCGCGGAAGAGCCGTGAATACAAGGATATATTACGGAATAGATATATGTTTAAAGGGGCTCGGAAGTCAAAAATATCGTGTGCGGGGTTGAACCTACTAGTCAAAAAAACAAATTGATTTCGTTGCAAAAAAACGTAAAATATTTGAGCAAACCGAAATGTTCTTGGGAACACGACTTTTTGAGTGGGCGGCGATTACATATCGGCATCCCATGTAAGGCACCCAGCCTCCCGATCGCGGTGATTCTCTGGTCAATTTTCATAATTCAAAAATTCTAGAATGGTCAAAATTCAATGAGGATTCCAGAAATAGCGTCAGAATTTTTGAATTCAAGCGTTTCCACTTTAAAGGAAACGCCGCAGGCCCTGGAACAGTGCCGCAGATGCAAGTGAATTTTAAGTAAATTTTTGGACCAGGATGGGAAAATATGAAAATTCTAGCCAATTCGCTCCCGAAATTGGGCCTCAAATTCTCCCTGGTAGCATCATCTTGGCCCCCACCACGCGAGTCTCCAAGAGGGAAGAAGACAAGGAGCCAAAATCCCTAATCTCCCGGGAGATTGGGGGCATGGTGTGCCGAAGACCGAGAGATGAGATGAGGGATGGATGGAAGATCCCTTCTAAGGAACGGGAGACCAATCTGTAGCCCCGGGTGCCATAAGTGTGCGCCTGGCAACTAAACGGCACACGTCTTCCGGGGAGTTTCGGTGTTTAGCATGTCGTCAAAAAGCAAGAAATTTTTGCTGTGGTGGGGATCGATCCCGGGCTTTTCGAATGGCAATAAATTACGCTATGATAAATTAAGGTACCGTTAAGAAAGGATTTGAGGTGGTTTCGGATAAGTTTTGACAATATGTGTTTGCAAAACCGTGAAGAGAGAAATGGATGAATGGAGAGGATAGAGAGCGAGTAAGAGAAAGTGGGCGAGAGAGAGAAAGTTAGAGAGTGAGTGAGATAGTCGAGAAAGGAGAGAGAGAAAGAGAGAAAGCGAAATAGAGAGAGCGAGAAATGGAGAGAGAGCGAGAGAGAGAGTTAGAGTGAGAGTGAGAGAGAGCGAGAGGGGAGACCGCAAGCACGCCAGGGAGAACGATAGAGGATCAAGAGCAAAACAGATAGAGAGCGAGATATAGAGACAGAGTCAGGAAAAGTAAGAGAGTAAGTGCCAGAGTGAGAAAGACAGAGAAAACGATAGAAAAACGTGAAAGGGTACGAAAAATGCAAAACCGAGTAGTCAAGCCTTTATAAAACTTCAAAACAGAGTAAAAAAGTAAAGTTTTGCTCTCAAAGCCTCAACACTACGACAAGTGGGTCCCGCCGCAAAAATTCTAGGGCCGCTAGAGCGGATTTTCAGATTTACGACCCCCGATTTCAGGGCCATAATCATAAAGCTTTTGGGCTTTGGCGAGTCGCGCTGGAACCAAGCTGGTAAGGTAAAGGAAAGTTGTAAACGAACCTAACAAAATAAGGCAAAAAAATTTGACAGTATCGAGGAGAAACAGGTAATCGAAATCACCTGAAAAGTGCGTCTATCAATTTTACAAAACCTAACAGAAGCTATATTTAAATCTCTCAAAATCTCGATGATAATCCCCCTACTTTGGCGCTACTATCATAGCCTGCCGAAAAAACGCAGCGCGCGAAGGTGAAAACTTGTTTCGCGGCGCTGCCTGTCGGGTCGCAAATAACATGTTTACAGGCGCCACCACGCGAGGCTCCCGTTGTATACGCCCCATTTTTGTAAGACAAAGGTGTGAGAGAGCGGAAAAGTAAACAGCGAACGGAGGCAGCCTTGGATGAATTCTCAAAAAATCTTTAAAAAAATTGATTCTGAGCTCATGAATTCTCGGGATTTTTTAGGTGTTCGTAAGGTTACCTACATTTAAGTTAAGAAAAGGCGGGATCGGTAGCGAGCCAGAGAGCGGGAGAGAGAGAGAGAGAGAGAGAGAGAGCGAGAGAGAGAGAGAGGGAGAGGGAGAGAGAGAGACTAGGACGGAGAGCGAGCAAAAGATATATTTTTAGAACAGCGAACCCCCCCTTCCTTTTTTCTTTTCCTTTTTTTTGCCCCCCCTTTTATTTTTTTTTTTTTTTTATTTAATATATATTTAACGAATTTTTGTTGTATTAATGTATCCGTTAATAAACGCTCTACATCTCCGGCCAGGTTAATCTCCGCTTAAATATGGCCCATACAGCCCCCGGGTGCAAAAGCAGTGGAACGGGGCCATCTGCCACCACACTCGCTATGACGGATATTCTTCCTTCTCTCTCTCTCTCCCTCTCTCTCTCTCTCTCTCTCTCTCTCTCTCTCTCCTCCCCCCCTCGCTCTATCTCTCTCTCTCTATCTCTCTGTCTCTCTCTCTCTCTCCCTCTCTCTATTTCTCTCTCACCATGGTGCCCACCAGCTGCCCCATCCCACGAGCCCAGTTTTGGGTCCCCCTCTTTAATACCCCGGGAGACACCCTTTAGGCGACCAAAAGAAAATGTCACCATGGTGACGAGCAACTTCCCAGCCCCCGCGTCCAATTGGGAGTAAAAAACGGAAATGAAAATTTTGGGGCTTCAGTAGCGTAGTAACATGGGCGTGAGAACCGCTGGATGAATCAGAAAGAGTCTGGATAGGTATCTCCGGATCAAAATAAAGCCACGGCGAAAAATTATGGAACGATACAGAAATTCATTTCAAAGAAGTCAATAAAAGGAAAAGATAGCAGTTAGCATAAATATATCAGGTAAACACGTCAAAAGAAAGGTTTAGCGGCCAAATTTTAATCTGGTAAATTGGCTTAGGCTTAGGCTTAGGCTTAGGCTTAGGCTTAGGCTTAGGCTTAGGCTTAGGCCCATAAAAGTCGCGTTGACACCTCGAAATGCTAAAAAATGTAAGCGTTTCGGCCTAAAAAAGCTAGCGAATTCTTAAAACCTTGAAAAGACAGTCAGTGGGTGAAACGGTTGTAGTGAATTACAGGAATTTTGTAATAAGGAGGAAAAGTTTTGGGAGCTAGTATAGAGTAGTATACTAGAAAAACGCAATCAAGATATTTAGAGCCATTGTTTTTATAGAGCCTCTGGGTTTATGGCCTTTTGCCGGCGCGAAATGCAAGCCGGGTGACTTTCAAAAATATACCAAAGTTTCCTGAGCTCTTTGCAGTATGGTGCACGCTAAAATGTCAACTAAAGGGCATAATGCTCACGAAATAATAAATATATAAAGCCATGAAAGGCGAGGTTTTATCGAAACCTCGTTAAAAATAGCGTTTTTCACCTCAATTTTCCAAAAGGCATTGTCGAAAATAATCATTTCAAAAAAATAAGCAAAAGAAAAACTCTACCTTTCAAGCACGAGCTAGGACAAAAATTACGACAAAATTAACGTACTTAAAGTGAAAAAAATCATAAAAGTCGCGTTGACACCTCGAAATGCCAAAAAATGTAAGCGTTTTGGCCTTCAAAAAGCAAGGTCAAGGCCCCGCTTTTCTAAATTAGCGAAAAAGAGCCAAGAACCTCATAAAAAAAGTGCGAAATTTAGCCAGAAAATCTGCGCACCATGTCGAAGAGTCCACCACCTGAAAAGTGGGGTATGTACCCCGGGGACGAGCACAATTCTGGAGGGGTGAAAGGGTAGCCGGCGGTGGTTCTAGTGAGTGTGGATGGGGGGACATGCACAGAGCATGAAAGGCCTCACTCGCACCAGCCTCCTAACTAGAGACTACTCGAAACGAGGAGAGCCCAGACAGGCAGAGTGATGCCCCGAGGGCACGAAGCGCGGGGTGGAGAACCCAGATGCCCCCAGGGCATTTAATTATGCGCGCAGGCTGGAGGGGGATGAGAGAAAGAGAGAAAGAGAGAGAGAAAGAGAGAAACAGTCGGACCCTATGTAGGGAATAAATAGCCCTGGGGCCCCCCTCGATGTTGCGATTTGCGATGCAAAGAAAACGCTTTGGGCGGCGTGGCGGGCCAAAAAAACGCCATTTTTTTGTGAGCCAGCTGCTTTTTAGCGCTCTAAAAACTAAGAGAGGTGCTTTAAAAATTTAGAAAAGGCGGGAAGTGTAAATACTTGAAACGAATCAAATGTAAAAAAATCGAAAGGAAAACTGGAAGAGAAAATTTGCAATTTGCCC